AAATTTGAATGTCATTTCTTTTTGTAATAAAATCGAAAGATGGCGTTATCGAATGATTCGAATTTTTTTTTTTTTTTTTTTTTTGAAGCAATATAACAAGACAAGACAAGAAAACCAGTATATCAACACATTTTATCATCAAAATAAATAAAAACATGGCAAAGATTAAATGAAAAAAAAAATTATTAGACATTAAACAAGTTCCAGTTTTCTTTCCTTATCATCGTCAATATTAATGATGATGATGATGATGATGTTGATAATATCGTTATGTTCAAGGATATCTGAAAACTCAAAACTGAATTTTATTCATACATACAAACAAAAAACCTTTTCAACCTGGCTATTGATTAATTTATTGACTTGTTGTTGTTGTTGTTGTTCAAAGTCCATTATTAATTGTTTACCTGGAATTTGAAAGAAATAATTGTTATTAATCAAATATGGTATCCATACTTTTACGACAATTATGTTCGAATAGTAAAAATACATTGAAATTATCATCATCACAATGGATATATCGATCATTTTCATCCGCATCCGCATCATCAACATCTTCATCTTTATCCGTTAAGATCAAGAATCGTATCGATGAAAAACGTCAACAATCATTATTGGGTGGTGGACTAAAACGTATTGAACAACAACATAAAAAGGTTATATTTTGCGATTTTACAACAACAAAAAAAATTGATTTTTGAATATTTTTTTCAGGGCAAATTAACGGCACGTGAACGAATCGATCTATTATTAGATACAAATACATTTGTTGAATTGGATATGTTTATGGAACATACTTGTACGGATTTTGATATGGATAAACAAAAGGTTATTACGATTTTTGTCCATTATAACATTTAATTATTGAAATTTTTTTCAATATTATAACAGTATACTGGCGATAGTGTTATAACTGGACATGGTAAAATTTTCGGTAAAGAAGTTTATGTTTTTAGTCAGGATTTTACCGTATTTGGTGGAAGTCTTTCCAGTGTACATGCAAAGAAAATTTGTAAAGTAATTAATTTAATTGATAAAAAAAATTTCATAATTTAATTATTACTGATAATGATGATTAAGATTATGGATGCTGCATTATCGGTTGGTGTACCGGTTATCGGACTAAATGATTCGGGTGGTGCACGTATCCAAGAAGGTGTTGAATCATTGGCCGGTTATGCCGATATATTTTATCGTAATGTACATTCATCAGGTGTTATACCACAGATATCGGTTATTATGGGACCTTGTGCTGGTGGTGCTGTTTATTCGCCAGCAATGACCGATTTTATATTTATGGTTAAAGATACATCATACTTATTTATTACCGGTCCAGATGTAGTGAAATCTGTTACCAATGAAGATGTTACACAAGAAGAACTTGGTGGTGCTGCAACACATACATCTGTATCCGGTGTTGCACATCGTGCCTTCCCGAATGATATCGATATGTTATTACAGCTACGAAATTTCTATAGCTTTTTACCACTTTCTAATCAACACAAATCACCTATTCGTGAATGTGATGATCCATGGAATCGTTTGGTATATAGTTTGGATTCAATTATACCACCAGAATCGACAACACCATACAATATGACCGATGTTATCATGGAGGTTGGTATAAATTATTTTTGGATTTCTATTAACAGAAATTTTCTAGATAATCGATGAACGTGATTTTTTCGAAATAATGCCCGATTTTGCTAAAAATATTGTCATCGGTTTTGCACGAATGAATGGTGAAACTGTTGGTATTGTTGGTAATAATCCTAAATATGTTGCCGGTTGTTTGGATATAAATTCATCGATAAAAGGTGCACGTTTCGTACGATTCTGTGATGCATTCAACATTCCATTGTTGACATTTGTTGATGTACCGGGTTTCCTACCGGGTACATCACAAGAATATGGTGGTATTATACGACACGGTGCAAAACTATTATATGCATTTGCTGAAGCTACTGTACCGAAGATTACAATTATCACACGTAAAGCATATGGTGGTGCATATGATGTAATGAGTTCGAAACATCTAAAAGCTGATGCTAATTATGCATGGCCAACGGCTGAAGTTGCTGTGATGGGCGCTAAAGGAGCCGTATCAATCCTGTATCGTGGTAAAGAAAATACTAAACAATATGAAGATGAATATATCGAAAAATTTGGTAATCCATTCCCGGCTGCTACTCGTGGTTTTATCGATGATATTATTGAACCGCATACCACACGAATGCGTATCTGTCGCGATCTGAATTTATTACGAAACAAAAAATCAATGTTACCACAAAGAAAACATGGAAATATTCCGCTTTAAAATTTAAAAAAAAAGTATGCAACAGGTTTTGAGACTGGTTGAAATAGCAGTCCACCACATGAAAAGGTTCAAATAGTCGTCAATGAATTCACGTGTGTTTTAAATCAAAAAAATATTTGTTTATTTGTTATTATTTAAATATCGTTTGTTTATTCGGATCAATTGTGTAAAATGAAGAATAAAAAGTTGTTAAAAGAAATTTTTACTGTTGAAAAACGTTTTAATGATATATTTAATGGTGATCGAATCGATATCGGTCAAGATGGTCGAATTCTCATTGCACCATGTGTCGAATGTTTGAATTTTATTGATCTAAAATCTGGACAAAAAATATATGAATTAAATTCTAATAATGAACGAAAATCACAATTCACAATGGATAATAATGATGATGGTAAAGCTGAATACATCGTAACGTTTGCCTATAATTCATCGGATCAAAATCTAGTAATCGCTTATTCAAGTGGTCTTTTACGACATTATTCATTGGACATTAACATCACCAATGATAATGAAAATGATAAAATCGAAATCAATCATAGTTTACAACGTACATGGAAATCAATGCATATTGGGTCGATTGCTTCGATACGATTCGATCAAACTGGTACACTAATAGCGACCGGAGGATCTGATGGAACAATTAAACTATGGAATTTAATACAAAAATATTGTACACATAATTTTAAGAATCATATTCGTGGTGTTATACAAACAATAACGTTTGCACCTAAATTTACAACCGATTCATATCAAATATTTGCATCAGGTGATGATTATGGTATACATGTTTGGAATCTTATCGATTCGAAACATTTGTGCGTATTGGAAGGACATGAAAGTAAGGTAACGGAAATTCTTTTTACCGCCGATCATCAATATTTTATTTCGAGTAGTCGTGATAAATTAGTTATAATATGGAATTGGCGTACAATGCAAAAATATCGAACAATGGCCGTTTATGAAGCAATTGAAACAATGATTTTAGTTTCGCGAAAAAAATTTACTGAAATTTTGAAACATTCAAATCAAACTGATGATGATGAACAAGTTTTGGTAGTTGCCGGTAATAGTGGCCTATTAAAAATATGGGATTGGCAAAATGGTCATCAATTGTTTGCACAACAGCAAAGTTTATTGGCCATTCATCAAACTGAAGATAAAGATACCTTATCATCGTCATCATCACAACAATATACACTAATTAATCAACTTGTTTATGATTCGGATAGTGAACAGCAACAAATTGTAGCCGTTTCTTATGATAAAGATATTGTTTTTCATGATGTTTCGACATTAAAACCAACTCGACAATTAGTCGGTACAAATGATGAAGTATTAGATGTAAAATTTATTGGTCAATCCAATCGACATATAGCTGTTGCAACAAACAGTCCAAAAATTAAAGTATTCGATCTTGAAACATCAAGTTGTTCATTTTTAATCGGTCATAATGATATTGTTTTAACATTGGCTGTTTTTGCTTGTGATCGTCATCTAATGATTAGTTCATCTAAAGATAATTCGATTCGTGTATGGAAATTTGATCCAAATGATTGTCATCGTGCTTGTTGTGTGTATCGAGGAACTGGCCATACGCATTCGATTACATCATTATCAACATCAATATTGGCTGGAAATTTATTCTTTCTAAGCGGGAGCGAAGATACAACATTAAAATTTTGGAAACTTCCATCCACTATTCAATCCGATTCCGAAAATATCGATGATAATAAATCTATAGAAAATCTACGATCAAAATATACACAAAGTTGTCATGAAAAAACAATCAATTCGATTGATATTGCACCAAATGATCAATTAGTAGCGACTGGATCACAAGATCGAACAGCAAAATTATGGTCATTACCAAATCTAAAATTGTTATCGGTTTTTCGTGGCCATCGAAAAGGAATATGGTCGGTAAGATTTTCTCCGGTCGATCAAATTCTAGCAACAGGATCGGCTGATTCAACAATTAAAATCTGGTCAATTGGTAGTGAACAACAAACATGTTTACGAACATTTCAAGGACATGAATCATCTGTATTGAAATTAACATTTATTGATGATGGAATACAGCTATTATCAAGTTCATCGGATGGTAATCTTAAAATATGGTCATTACAATCAAATGATTGTATTGCAACATTCGATGCACATGAAGGAAAAGTATGGGCTATGGATGTAACTGATGATGAAAATACAATAGGTTTGTATGGTGAAATTTTTTAAAAATACAAATTTTAATTTTTTTCAATTTTTGGTTTAAAGTTACTGGTGGTGATGATTCAACTATTGCCATATGGATAGATCGTACGGAAGAAACAAAAGAAAAAGAACAAATACGTACGGAAGAATCTGTACAAAATGAACAAACATTACAGAATTTATTACAGAAAAAAAATTGGACAAAAGCATTAAAAATGGCAATACGTTTTGGACATCCATTACGTTGTTTAATAATATTGAAAGAAATGTTATTAGAATGTTCAAAAACAGAAATTCTAATCGAAAATTTAGTACGATTACGTCGTGATCAATTATTAACATTATTTGATTATTCAATACATTGGAATACAAATAGTAAACATTGGATTCTTGCACAATGTGTAATACGTGCATGTTTTGAACAAATATCACCCGAAGAGATGGAAAAAATGCCAGAATTTCAAATGAAAATTACAAAATTATTACCATATTGTGAAAGACATTTATCACGAATACAACGACTAAGACAAATGGTTACATTTGTTGATTTTGTTTTTGAACAAATGAAACTTCCCGATAATCAATAATAATCATTGTTTTTTAGTTTTTTTTTATAAAATAAATCAATTTTGACGTTCAATTAAACTGTCGACAATCGATTCATAGCCTTTTTCAATTTCTTGTACTTGTTGCTGTTGATTATGTTTACGTTCAGCCAACATTTGTTTATAATTATGAATCATTCGACCATGATAACCTTGTAATGATCGTAATGTACCACGTATTGTTCCAGAAATTTTTAATATTGTAAAACGAATCGAATAATTTTTAATTGTTTGTATTAATGGTAATGATGTTATAAGAAATTTATATGATTCACGTTTGACAGCAAAAACACCAGTACGGGTAGTTAAATCAAATTTTTTTGCATGAAAATTGAACAATATTGATGCAAGACCATAATCACCATAGAGTTTTTGTACCATATCACGAACTGAATGTATGAGATCACCTTCATGAATTATTGGACGTGGACGTTGTTGTTGTTGTATTGTATCATCGATACCGATGAAATCGATACGAAATAAAATGTATCGTCGTTTTACTGGAGGCATTTTTTTAGATTTCAAAATTTTACATTTGAAAAATTAAATCAAAATTTTTTTGAACATGTGCAAACAATTTATTTTTCCGGGAATTTTTTCTTGCTTGTGCGAAATGAAAATTTCTGAGAATTTTGTTTCCAGGAAATTTTTTTTTGTCATTTACATGCTTTATTCTTTCAATGATATTTTATGATTTGGCAATAAAATCATTAAAGCTTGAATGCTATGGATCCAATCATTATGTTAGGATTTTAAAGTAAGTGGAAAATATTTTTAAAATTGTCAAAATTTGCCACAAGTATCCACGTTCGTAAAGTGCTGATCAAAAACACACACACACTCGTAATGACATGATGATTGCTAGGGCCATGACATGATGTGCTCTTTAAATTCAGCATGTTTTTTTTTTTTTTTTGGTTTTCATCCGCGGCAATAATTATATGGACATCATTATTCATTTGTTCATTCCAAACCATTGTATATTGATTCAATTGATTTTAAAATTTATCTCATTGGAAATCTATACGTTTCAAACATATTGTCCATATGTTGTTTCAATCAAATTGTTTTTTTTCTCATTCGAATTGTCTATTTAAAAAAAAAAACAAATATTCGTTTTAAACATGCGCACTTTGATGATTAGTGTCGACGTGACTCTTGAAACCTTAAAAAAAAAATAAATAATACAAAATCATCGACACACCCACTCGAACAACATACAAGATGCATGAAGAAAAAGAGCTAATTGTATACAGACAGACAGAGATATAGTTAAAGTGAGGAAATAAGTAGTGGCATTACGGTAGTTGGTAAAAAAATGGGAAAAACAGCCCTGACAAAAAAAAACATAATAATAAATGGAGAAATGAATGAAGAGAGAGAGAAAGAAAGACCTGGGCATTTTTTTTTCTCCTTTTTTTCATCCATCCATCCATTTAAACAATATTCGATTTTGTTCCACCAACACCACCACCACCACCAACAATATAGTGTGGTGGTTGTGCGTTTCATTTCGTAAAAAAAAAATTTACTTTTCATCATCATCATCATCATTATCCTCACTATCATTGTTTTTTTTGGTTGTTTCTTTTCCCAACAATTAAGGGGTTCCAGAATTTCAATTTTTCATTTTGGATAAAGATGATGATGATGATGATGATTTTATCTATTTAGATTATCCCACAACAATTGTTGTTATTGCCATTATCGTTTTTTTTGTTGTTATTCTAGGTTGACGGTGTGGCCGGAAAAGGTGGGTGCGTGAATTATACTTTTTTTTTGATACTTTGTTTGGTGGGTGTGGGTGTTTTGGTATTGCTTATGAACGTATATAGTTGTTATCAATGATGGTTAGTGAGATTCCTACCGGTTCTCTTAAAAACTCGAAATGAACGGATTTTCCTTTTCTTTTCAAATACCCTATATTTTATTTCTCTCGCTCGCTCGCTCTCTCTCTATCTCTGGTTTGTGGTATAGTCAAGACAAAGATGTTCGGTAGAATCTAAAGCAATTATTTTTTAATATAAAATATTCTCTGATTAATAAACATACTGATCAATCTTTGACTTTTTGAATAAAAATGTAGTAAATCTTTAATGTTGTTTAATCTTAGATAGCAAAAGAAGATATTGTTGGGGATAAAAAAAAAAGAAATTCTTGAGAATCTTTATCGACCAACGTAAAAACAACAACAACATAAATAGGCCACAAAAATGATGGCATCACCACAAACAACACCATTGGCATTTAATCCACAGCCAACAACATCAATTTGTGGTTCATCATCATCATCATCATCATCATTATGTAATGGTAACAAAATAAATGCCACAATATTATCAACAGGCCAATCACAACAATTTTCAAATATTAAAAAATGTACAATTAATGATGATATTGTTGATATTAATAGTAGTACAAAGAATTGTCAAAGTCTTTCATCACCGATGACAATATCATCATCATCATCATCTTCATCATCGTCTATGATTCATCTAACTAAATTTGATAATGATCATAATAATATGAATGATGGAATAAAATTCACTACCTCTTCTTCATCGCCATCATCATTATCATCATCATCATCATCATCATTACCGAAATCAACATCAATTTTAGTTGCTGTTACAATTACAAATAATGATAATAATAATAATAATAATAAGAATCCAATCATAATGAATGGTAATAATGCTGTTATTATTTCGGATTCAAAATCGATTCAAATTAGCAATGAAAATATTGTTAAAAATGTCGATAAACAATCATCATCTATTTCTCATTCATTACCAGCACAGCCACAGCCGCAATCAATTATAACAATTATTGATGAAAATTCAAACATTTCAATCAAATCATCATCGTCGTCATCATCATCATCGATAGAAAATAGTCCAAAACGTAAACGTCGTCGTGGTGAAGAACAACGTCTTATGGATGATTTACAAAAAATTGATAGCTCTTTAGCAGCTAAAGTTACTCGTATGATTGAATCCGAACAACAACAACAACAACAAAATGGATCGATTGAAAATTCTGATAAGATAAAAAATGAAGATGATTCTCAAACAGCAAAGAATTGTGATCAACAACAAAAATCAACAGCAAATGATGCCAAATCATCGTCATCGGGTGATTGTCCGGCATTACATTTACGTCCAAGACGTAATATACGGCCTAATCCATTTACAACAGCTGTTTATCTATCATCATCTGGCTCATCATCGCCAATATTTTTGAGTCCAATAAAATGTACGGCTAATAATAATCAAAGTCCATCAAAAAATTATCTAAAAACACAAAATCTATTAATAGATACAACAAAACAGTTGAATAAATTTTTGAATAATTCACCTATAAAACAAGAATTATCAACAAATGATAGTGATGATATAAAACTATCAAAAAATATATTGATTGATAAGGAAAATGATTCAAATGTTGATGGTAAAAAATCATCAATTTCAAGGCGAAAGAAAATTTTGTCGATTGATCGATATGTTCGCCGTGATCTAGATGTTTCCGTATTTGCAACATTAATTACACCGGCACAATTGAAAATTTCACAAAAATATCCATATAATTATGTATCATTGAAAATATTGGAACAGAAATCGATACGTTTTGTTGAATTAATTGATTCAAAAACCAAACGACAATTTACATGTCCAATTCTTGAATTGATCACTATCGATATTCCTGATCGTTTTGATATCGATTATATGAATGGTGTTTTTGATGAACCTGAAGTTAGGTAAGTATACATATTCAAATCATATTAATATTTTAAATGCAAACCAATAAAAAAAACTAATCAATTATTTTTGTTCATTACAGTTCGGTATCCAATACTAAATTAACAGTCTTTTTAGTTGGTTCATATGCATTGAAATCCAAATCATTAATCAACAGTGACAGTAATAAATTATCATCTTCATCATCGACAAACAATGGTTGTAATGATAATAATGAGAATGAAAAAATTATAAACATATTAAGATTTCGTACAAGTCGTGAAAAATTACCATCACCAATTACTAGAAATCTAAAAAAACGTAAATTTATTCATGGAAATCGAACACCTGAATATCCATTTACAATTATTGTTGATTCATCCGATGATTTAATGGAAAATTTTATAATGAAAAATGAACAAATGAAAACTGATAACAATGATGATGATGATGATGATGATGAAGTGATTGCATTGGATGATCCATTTATTGATCTTTATAATAATGATCATCAATATGATGATAATAATAATAATGATGATAATGATGATTGGTTACCAATGGTATCATATTCTGAACGATGGCAACCACCAAAAGATCCACGTGAATTGAATCGTTCATTATATATAATACAGCCATGTATACCAAAATTTGAATCATCATCACGAACGGTAAAAATGTCAACATCATCATCGGTAAATGCATCCACAATAATGGCTTAATCCATTTATTTTTCTTATAATTCAAAATTTCATCTTTAAAAAAAAATCTGCTTAGAATAACACAACTTTTCTGTACAGAAAAAAATTAGCAAAACTAATCGGAATTTTTTTTTTAACTGAAAAAACTAAACACTATTATGTATAGCAGTAAAAAAAAATTTGTTAGTAGATCTCATCATCATCATCATCATATTCACATTTGAATTTGTTTGTTTTTTTTTGTAATCCTAAATTCTCTTACTTTTTTTTCTCCTTTCCTGAATGTCTAATTGTTTGTTCCAAAAGAAAATTATCATATAATAATTATTGATAATGTTGTCACCGCTACAATAATCCAAAAAACATTTATAAATCATTTTTCAAAAATTTTTATCTTTTTCTTCAGCAACAAAACAAAACAAACAAATATTATCAAATTGTTCACACAAAATCAATAAATTGAATCTATATTTTTTCTCTGTTGATAATCATATCGCGTACAAATACCAGACGTTCAATATTCTTTATCATTTTATTCGATTGATTCAATGTTCAATAAACCAATCAACCAACAAATTACGCAAAAAAAACAAGACAAAAAAAATTTGATGAAATTCTGTGAATTCTAAATCATTTTCTATGTGATTTTTATTTTGTTCGTTTGTTTTAATTATTATTTTTTTCTCTTTTGCTTTTAAACAAAACAAAACAACAAAATTCTCATCAATAATGATAATTATTTTTCTAAATTGTATGAATGTACAATAATAATAATTGAAAACTAATTTTGATTTGTAATTTTTTCTTTTTTTTTGGTGAGAATAATATTGGTCGATAGATCAAGTGCAAGTTTATTGTCAGTTTGCCTTTTCGATCGAACGATGCACATCCTATCGATTCGATTTAAATCAATCAATCATTGATTGATGGATAGTTGTTATTGTCGTCGTCGAAAATAATACCATCGCCACCACCAATAAACAAAATGAATGGCCATCGTAAAAATAGCCAAAAACATTGATGATAACCAACCGATTATCAATAATAATACATAACAATCAAAACTAATCTTTTCATCATAATTTGGTGGTTCACATATACGATGATTTTTACGATGATTTGAATTCCACCACCAAAAATATTTCCATGGAAAATGCAAACTATTTGATGACCAAATCCAATCTAAATAACCATCAATACGTAAACATAATTGTATTGAAAAAATCATCAATACAAGAAATGTTGCCATCATTATGCAAAGCATACGTTCAACACCACCGGTAGGTAAACATCGTGACCATTGTTGATAAATATTCCAAAATATTTGAATACGATTTTCTATTTTTATATTCAATGGATGGAAATAATGAAAATTAATCGTTTAGGGAATTACAAAAATTACCTCTCGGCGCCGTATCATATGTATAGAATTCCAATTCTTCATCATCATCATCATCACATTCACTTTCTTTATGATAATCATAATTATCATCTTCAAAAATTTGATGTGCTGATCGACTTCGTTGTCGTAATACTTTATTGATTTGTTGTTTTTGTGCAAAATAATCTGGATCATTATCATGATCATCTATTAAACCTTGTTCTTCATCATCATCATCACCACCATCATCACCGTCATCATTATCATCAGATTCGTATGATGAATAATCGGCCATGTTTAGAATTTAGAGTTCACCACTGTAATGATAATAAAATAAAGATTTTTATTGTCAAAACGACACTGAACTAAGAAAATAAAATTTTTGTTGTCAACAATTAATTTTTCTCACCATTTCCATGGATTCCTTTTTTTCTAAGATGATTGAATATCGATTAATCGAATGTTTTTTGTTTTGTTTTATCGATTTGAGAAAATTCTTAACGCTATAAATACTAAAATTGATTGATTGATTGATTTTTTTTACCTGTCCTAAAAAAAACATTGTAAAATCAATTCGAATGAATTCTTGATCTTGATCCGACTCGGTAGATGGCAACGCTAGATTCGATAAAATGTTATTTACAACCCGAATTCTCTTCGACATGCACACAAAGGATTTCATCAAAGAATTTCAAAGAATTTTTTAAAAACATCTTTTTATTTAAACAAATTTTATTAATTAATTTTTTTTAAATCAAATTTTTGTTGTGGATGAACGATGATGATTGATTGATAGATGAAATTGTATTGACATTATTGATGTTATTGTTAATAATATCATTGATATTATCAAACATAATGGTAATAAAATATAGGTATTCCAATCAACAATCATAAATTCATTTTCATCAATAGATGTCATTTGAATCGATTGATTATTATTATTATTTTCCATTCGAATATTATTATTATTATTATTATTTATCGATGATAACGATTGATCCAAACGTTTTGATATTGGTAATGATAATAGAATTATTGTTATAAACAATGCAATCATACAGGATATTGGACCAATATAACTAATGAAATTATTATTAGAAAACGTTTTTTTTTAATTAAATTAAATTAAAAAAAAAAATCCAATTTTATTACCTGGCCGGAACACGAAGACGAGATGAAATCAAACAAAATATGATTGCTATTGCCCATAATAATAACAATGTAAACAATCCAATTCCAAGACCAAGAATAAGTTGAGCCATTTCTTTTCTTTGTTTTTCTTTTCTATTTTTGGATCGTTTACATTGAGATTTTCATCATCTTGATACTGTTATTGTTATTATTATTATTATTATACACACAGATTTTGTTTTATCCGTGTATTAGTTGATGATTTTCATCAAAAAACAACATATAATTCCACACACACACACACACATCTATCAATTTTTTTTTCTAATTCAGATTGCCCTATGATCACAATTTAATAACAAACATTCAAAAGAAGAAAATAAAATGAAAACAAATTGTTACTATGGTAACCATTGTTTTTTCCCTGTTTTTTTCCTTGTTTGGTTTTTGTGTATATTTTATGTTTTCATTCCAAAATTTGAAATGGATAGTTAGAATTTGAAAAACCATAATCAATCGATCGATCATTATGGTGTATCATAAGCAAGAATTTTTCCCATTTTCAAATTTAAACACCAACAAAGTTGTTTATTAATGAGAAATGATCCATTTCAATGATGAATGGATCATCTTTTTTTTTTTTTTGTTGTTGTTGAAACGATTATGAAATGATGCAATCGAAATAATAATAAAAAAAACATTCAAAGTTTTTTTTTCATCTATTTCTTCTATAATTCCTTCAGGCTTTCGTGACTTTTTTTCGGAAAACTTTATTTCATTTCCCAAATCGATTTCTTAAAATAAGATTTTTTCGTGTATTTTTTATTCCGAAAGAAATTCTTTTAAAATTTCATGGCCATTTAAACATTGCTCAATAATGATGATGCATGATGTCGATTGAGTTGAATGAAAAAGGAAAAAAATTTTCTTTTCATTTTTACAGAATTTGAAACGAATTTGAAATTTAAATTTTCATCATCATCATCATCATCATCAAGATGACACACAATTGTGTGGACTATTGTAGAAAATAAACTAAACCGCTATGATCAATGTAAAATGTATGACAATCGGTTTTCGTTCAAAAGAATTCATTCAAGGAGAAAGAATGATGGTTCAATGATTTTTTTTTCTGGAATTTTGTTCATTTCCATTTTTTTTCTCATTCACAATTTTGAAATAATATTCTACTATGTATATATATATAGGATGTTTTCAAGAATCATGTGAACCTGAAATTCTATATATAGAATTTGGAAAAAAAACAAAAAATTGATACATTGATACATTATTGAATGACCAAATGGCAAAAATAATACTTAATTATTAATAACTTTCTCGGGTAAATAAGATATACATTTTCAAGATTAAATTTGATCATCAATTTTTTTTCTGTTTTGTTACTAATATAAAAGAAACTTCTTAGTTTTGGGATAACTTATTATTTGGATTTGTATTTATCATTGATTCGAATCAAAAAAAAAGATGAACTAGAAGAAATATAACAAAATAAATCACCTGTGATTGAATGTTGTTCTTGTTGTTTATTATTGGCCATTCCATTTTTTTCTCTTTTTTTCGTTCGATAAACAATGAAATTTTGTTTTATGTTTGTAATCGATTAATAATTTATTTGTATTATAATAATAATTAATAATATTTGATGGATTGATTCGAGTTTTATATTGAAATAATCATTATTAATTAATCGATCGTACCGAATAAAAACAAATAAGACTATGTTTTTAGTGTGGAAAAATCAAATCCATTTCCATTTTTTTTTTCTGGATTGCATTTTTGTTATCATATAAATTATTCGTTATCTGTAGTTTTTATTATTAAAAGTTTCATTTCGGAAAACTTTCTTAAAATGTTTGGTTCTTTCTCCCTCTATTTACAATCATTTTTGTTTCATTTCTATTAATTATATTGCCAGATAATTTACTAGACATTCATTCTGAACTGAATTGTGATTGTCACGAATGGATTTGGATGAATGAAAAAATAAATTCAAATAGACTAGACTAGAATGAAATTTTGGTTTTGTACCTTTGAAGATTCTTGTCTGACAAACTTGTTTCTTGTAATTTGTTTGGGAAAAAAAATTACAGACATTTTCACGAAAATTCATTCATTATGTCGGTCACGATTTACGAAAGAATATGGTTAAAGCATCTTTTATTTTCGGGTATAAATTTCGAAGAAAAATTACACATATTTTTCTGCCGTTTTTGGATCCAAGTAATACTGTGATAATAATCGCTATTTAACAGTTGTCCATTATATCTAATTTTTTTTCCTTATAAATTTTTTTTCTTTCACAAATGATGATGATCACTGATGATGATCAAACGACTGATAACGGGAAAAATTTCCAGTTACAAGAATAAAAAAAAGACAGAATTTGATGATAACATCTTAAGCCGATTAAAGAACGAAAGAAGAAGAAATTTTTTCCTTCAAGATTCAATACTGATGCGATGGTTGATGTTGATGTCATTACTCAAATAATCTTTTCATCGTCTTTTCTTTGCCTATACATATAATTCTTTAAATAAGAAATTTTTTTTCCTTTTCCCCTTAAAAAAACGACACAATAGATATGGTGACTTGTTTTTTTTTCATTTTCTCTTTGCTTCATGATGCCATTTCATCATTCAGACAGAAAAAAAAATTTGAAATTGATTCTGAATGGAAAAAGAATTTACTGATATCTTCGATGCTTTTTTTCATCAAATTTTTTTTTCTCTTCCAAATGGATCACAAATGGTGATGATGATTCTGTCAAAAAAAATGGAAGGGGGGAAATTTCAATGATCAACATTGATGATAAATGATCAACGACAGCTTCAGCATTGAAAAAATTCATTCATTCATTCATGTTCTCTCGAACAATAAAAATTTCATCAAAAAAAAAAAAAAATCCAGGCTTCATCGCTGATCATTTTCCGAGGAAAAAAATGGTTCTGTATTTCATCAAATGCTGGCCAACCAAAGAACCAGAAATGATGAACATTGTATATGAGGATTCATTGGAAATGTAATCAAAAGAAGAAGATGAAACAAAATTGAACAAAAAACTAATTTTAAAACAAATAAATAATGATGATGATCAAAAAAAAAACATTCTTGAAACAAACAAACAAAAGTGATAATCATTTCCTTTTTGTTTTTGTCTTCATTTTCATCAGAAATAGGGAGAGAGAGAGAGAATAAAAACGTCAAAATGTCTTGGCAATATTATCTAATATCGCTCTGTCAACAGCTTACAACAAAATGAATTTTTTTCCTTTAGTTTTATTTTGGTCGTTGTTGCCTGAAATGTATCCAAAATAACAATAATGATAGGTTTCTTCTTATTTGATCGAACAGAAATCGATATCGTTTGTCGTCGTCGTCGTTGTTGTTTTTCATTATTGAACATTACATCATTGACGATTAAATGATGCGAATAATTTTTCATCAATGATTTGAACAACAATATGATTTTCACAATGGAAAATCTTCAACATCAAAAATAGAACAGAATTGATACGTCTTCTTGATGTCATTTTGTTTCTTTTTTTGGAAAACCTACAAAGAAAAATTGAACGTGATAAAGAGGGATAAATCAGAATATTTTTTATTTTGCTCATGTTGATCGTGATTTTTTTTCAAATCAAGTGAATGACGAAAACAAATGGGTTATGATTTATTTTTTTCCCGTTCAATCATTCCATTGATTCGATTGAGTTCAATATCGTGATTGATTTTTTTCTCGGTTATTTTGTTTGTTTTCCAGTATACGAACCAAGTGAAACTTTAAACAACATCGATCGGGTATCGAAATCATTTTCTACGACCATCCTACAACCTTCAAATGATTTTTTTGTTTTCGGATCTTGGAAATTCTTCATTTCTTTTTTGACAACATTTTCTGGGTCGAAAGTTGAATTATTTTCTTGAAAAAAAATTCATTTTAAAATAATCTTCATTCACAATGATGATGATGATGAAAAATTTATAAGAATTTTTTCCGGAATTTTTTTGAACATTAAAACCGGAAGAACTACTAATGTTAAGAAGAGACATCGAGCGAGAAAACAAAAACAATCCACAAAAAAAAACAACATTAATAATAATGATGTTTCATTCGAAAACAAAAAAAAAACGGAAATATTCTTTGAAATTAATTTGAAATTGGAAAATTTTGAAAAAATTTCTTTTCATTAAATTCAAGTAGCGGAAAACAGAAGAAAAAAAGTTTTCTTTGTTCTGTTCATTGCTACTTGACTTGTTTTTCAACAACAAAAAAAAGCAAAAGAGACATCATTGAAAGGGTGAAAATACTTGAATCAGATGCTTAATAAGATGTGCGTGGGTGGAAGTAAATGAACAAGAATCGATACATCTTTTTTTTTGTGTCTGATAACATGATGAAACAAAACAAAAAACAAAACATAATTCATAAAAAAATTCGAATTGCAAATTTGTTTTTGTCTTTTTTGTTTTCAAGTTTCTTAATGGAAATTAACATTCTCAATTCAACAAGACGAAAAATATATAGAGGGAAAAAATGAATATTCTTTGGTCACAGATGTGTATGACTATAGAATTCATGAAAAAAAAAAATATACATCAAAATTTCATTTTTTTCTGTTTTGTTTTGTTTTATCATCACCATGATGATATCGAATATTTCTGTATCCAAATATGTTTTGTTTTGTCTATAGATAAATGCGGAAAAAAAAGAAAAATTCTTTCGTTTAAATCTATTTTTTTTCTCCTCGTTGTTTTAATAATGAGAAATATCATTTTGGCTATCTTGACACACACACAAACACACAATGTTTTATATATAATTTATTGTTGATAGATTTTTCAAATCTTACCCAATATTTCTTTGTCTTTTGTCCAAACATGTACCAGTGACCAGTTGCCATTATAAAATATGTTTTTTCCTAAACATTTATTCCATTGAATGAACGAATGAATGAAAAAATAAAAATAAAAATAGAAATGAAATGTACATTTCGATAGATTTTCTACACCCACTTTCATATAATGAAAGTGAAAAAGAACCAAAACAACAAAACGTATTTATTTTTGTTTTTGTTTCTTGGAATCACTATATGATGCATCCCAATAAGTGAATAGATTTATTCATGTTTCTTTTCACCAATTTTCAATAATGTTTGTGATTGAGTGGCAGATGTTCAATATGTACACACTCACACACATACACTCAAAAAAATGAACAAAATTCTCGTTAAATCATGACGATTGAATAAAAGGGAAAAAAATTAACAGAAATCCTGAATTGAAATATTTATAAATTTTCAATTGAAATTTGAAAGGAAAAAACTTGAAAATTTCAAATTATACCAAAAAAACATAGGACACATTGTATTTTAAATATCGATATAATAATTGATTATAAGGAATTTTTTTTTTTTGTTATTTCTTTCTCAGAATAAGTTAAAATCATCACCATACATTAGTGATATTATGATTTTCTTTTTTTTTCTCATCAAGTGTAAAATCTTATCATCAATCAAAACGGAAAGACATTATTTTTTTCAAATGGTTCAATAACCTTGACGATATTCGACAAACAAAATATTAAAATTCTAGTCTCGAAACAACCACAAATAAATTCCTGAAATCAAGATTGTTTTTTATTGCCCAAGAAAGAAAAAAAAAAGTTTATTTCATTTTCAGAATTTTCATTTTTATTTTTTGCATATAAATCAATTAATCACAATTTATTCACAGACTGAATTTATTGATCAGCAAATCGATTGATTTGTTCAAATTGATTCAAATCAATTTGTTTGACAAAATGTGAATGAAGGGCACAAAAATAAAAATCCATTCAAATTTATAACTGGTAATCATAAATTAGGTCAGCAGATTTTTGGTTATTTTTCTGTTGTTGTTATTGAATGTTTTTTTATTATTATTATTACCATTTTATCACCACGAATGAATTGCCATTGTATTGGATCGATAACGAATTCAACATAAAATTTGATTGATTCAAATATTACAAGCAAAAAACAACATTTTGTTATAGTCATGATGAATAAATTAAATTTACAACATGAATATCTTCGAATTGGTATCAATATTGTATGTATATTTGAAATGATTTTCAATTTGTTTTAATCATTATTTGGTTTGTTTGTTTTTTTTGTTGAAATAGTATCCACCATTTACAATTTATCATTATGATAATGATCGTTATGATGGAATTGAATATTATTTAATTAATGTATTTGAAAAATATTTCAATTTTACTGCTCAATTTATTCATTATGATGGTCATTATGGTCATAAGAATTCAAATGGATCATCATGGACTGGTTTGGTTGGTGGTCTATTGAATAATGTAATTTTTGTTTGTTTGTTTGTTTGTTTATTTATTTAGTAAACGGATAGATTTCTTTACAATAAAATGTTTTTTTCCCCTCTTCCCGTTAGAATATTGATATGGCTATTGGTGGTGTTGCATTGGAATATGAACGACAAATGGTAATCGGCTATCTTTATCCACATTGTATTGATCGTTTTACATTTGCAACAAGTAAACCATATAGTGGACAATATATTGAACAATTTTTACATCCATTCCAATCGATTATATGGATCGGTTTGATTGTTGTGTTTATATTATTCTTTTTATTCGATCAAATGGATCAATATATCAATCGAAAACAATCATTATCATCATCCGAAACAATAACATGGTTTGCTTTGCGAACAATTTTACGACAATCATCGTCATGGAAAACTAAAATTCGTCCAGCAAAATATTTGATTATTAGTTTCTGGTTAATACCTGCATTCATATTGACAATATCATATTCAAGTATTATTCAATCAGAATTAACCGTACCGATTGTTCATAGAATCAATACAATTGAACAATTAATTGATGCTTGTCATTCAAAACAGATTATGATGTATAGTACAACAAAAGATTTTAATTATTTTCGGGTAAGTTTTGTTGTTGTTGTTGTTGTTTTGTTTCAACAGAAATCATTCATCAAATAAAATTCTTCATTTGTTTGTTTGTTTTTTTTGCAGCGATGGAAATCATTGAAAAACTGTGTAAAAACATTGATTGAACAACGACAAAAAGGTGTAGAAATATTATTGAATCATTCGATACAAGAATCTGATCAATTTGTTGGAATTTTTATTGCCAGACATCGTGCACGTTTTGAATTATTTATAAATGGTATGGATGCATTCTATTTACCACCAATTAGTACTGAATCAACAATTTTACCATTATTATTTGCTATTTCAACTTGTCGATCATTATTTTATTATCATCGACAATTTAATCAAATGTATGTAATTGACAATGACATTGATGATTTCTCAAAAAAAACTTTCATTCATTTTTAAATATAGAATATTAAGGTTGAACGCTGCAGGCATTATTCAATATTGGTCAGATCGTGTATCGATTGAAGCAAAAATTCGTTCCTATCGAAAATTAATCAATAATTTCATCATCAATGATAATGATTATGTTGAGGATTATGGATACAATCAAAAATTATTTTCTAATCCATCAAAAATAATTAAAATGAATGAAAAATTTCCAACAAAAATTCAACATTTAAAAAATTTATTACAAATTTATTCAATATTAATATTGATTACAATCATTATATTAGCAATTGAAATATTGATAACATTTAATTTTGATCGAAAACAAATGAATCGATTTACTAGAAAAATAACAATAAAAATAATAAATAATATCTAAATGAAATGAATTGTATCACTATCCGAAAAAATAATGTAATTTTCTTTGAAAATAAGATATTTTTTTTTCAATTTGTAATTATCATTTGTTACGTCATTTGAATAATAATTATGATAATGAACAAAAAAAAGATTCGATCGATTTAATTTCAAATTGTTATCATCGATAATGAATTTCGATTGACTTACTATATGACATTGCATAAAGGTGAATGTGTAGAAAAGAAACTGTGAAAAATGCGTCTTAATCTACAACAGAAAACATTGAATGTTGGTGTTAATGATGTAAGAAAGAGTTTTCACTTTCATTTCTTTTTTGATTGTGAAAAATTTTTAAATATTTTTTCTTCGGTTTCATTTAGTATCCACCATTTATTCTATTATATGGTAATGAATTATGTCGACAACAACAACAACAACAACAACAAAAATGTCGACCGGATGGAATCGAAAGCAGATTGTTAGAAATATTTGAATTTTATTTTAATTTTACATCCAATCTGAAACCATATGCTGGACGATATGGACGTTTGGTTAATGGTTCCTGGAATGGTATCGTACATGGCCTATTGAAGGGTGTAAGTTTTTTTTTGACTCTGTTATTGATTCATTAACGAATTTTTGATTTTTAATAAACAAAAGGATATTGATTTAGGTTTAGGTGGTGTAACACTTCGAAATGATCGAGTACATGTGGTAAATTATTTGCATCCACATTGGGATGATCGTTTTAGTTTTGCAACAACACCTATCAAAAGTGAACATTATATTGAACAATTTTTACATCCATTTTCGTTCAATGTTTGGTTGGCATTATTATTATCGTTCATAATGTTTTATCTTTTCGATCGATTAATGTCAATGACAATAACAAGAAGAAATCGTTATCATTGTCATCATAAACATTGTGTTTGGATTGCATTACGTTTATTATTTCGACAACCATATCAATGGAAGATTGGTATGAAAAAAGTGGCCACATTCCAATCACAACGAATAATTATAGGAATATGGTTGTTAATAACAGTGGTATTAACATCCATTTATTCTGGTTGTATACAATCAGAATTAGCAGTACCGGATTCAAATGCTATTGATAGTATCGATAAATTAGTTGATGCATGTGAATCCAAACGTATAACGTTGATTAGTACGGAAAAAGATTTTTCTTTTTTTCGCGTAAGCACTTTTATTGAATAACAATATGAAATTTTTCAACAAAAAAAAATGTTTTTGAATTAAACTAGAGATTTGTTAGAAAAGAAACAACATCTTTAGAAAATTGTTTTGAAGAAATTTTGATGCAAAAAATTGGCATCGAAATATTGGTAGAAAAAACGATGCAATCAAATACTGATGAAAATGGTAAATATCGATCACGACGACAACAACAACAAAAAATTATCGGTACATTTGTATCACGGGAACGTGCACGTTTTCTTCAACATTGTTTCGGTACAGAATCATTATATCTACCACCAATGAAATATGAATCAACATTTTTTCCATTATGGATTGCCATACCGACAAGTCCGAAAACATTTTATTATCAATCGGAATTTAATAAAGTGTAAGCGAAAAAAAAGAAATATCAACTAACTTGCCAACACCATTAACCCATCATTCATTCATTTATTTATTTATTTCTGTTTTTAGTGTTTCCAAAATGATAACATCGGGAATAATAAAATATTGGGGTAAACATATATTAATGAATGTAAAATTAATGTATTATCAACATAAATCATTGAAAATTACTGAACAATTTGATAATGATAATACTAATGATATGATTATATTGAAAATGACAATGCATCATATGCATATTGTATTTATTATTTTTATTGTTTGTTTAATAATTTCAGCCATAATTTTTATATCCGAAATATTTATTCATGAAATGAACAAAATTCATTTGTTTTACATATTACCTAAATACCAATAAACAAAAATAATGATTAAACTTAAACATTCAACATAAAAAGTGAGAGGAAAATTTTTTTTCTTTATTGATTACGAAATAAATGAGGAAATGATAAGAACAAAAAGAAAAACAAAACGAAAAAATATTCTTCATTTTGTTAAAATCGATCTCACAGATCAAACATACACTTGCATTCTTGAATAAATATTTGGATATTGTATGTGTGCGTGGAAAAAAAATTTCAATTTGTAGTGTAAAATAAATGATGATGCAGCGATTGAATCTAGCGAATCATACATTTCGTGTTGGTGTATTTCAAGTGGGTGTACTGTTTTTTTTATTATTAAACAAATTTTTGTTTTTCATTTTTGTTTTCAATTTTTCACTATCAAACATCATTATCAACAGTATCCACCTTATATTCGATTGAATGAACATGGACAAGTTGTAGCTGGAATTGAAGGTCATTTGTTAAAAATATTAGAAAATTATTTCAATTTTACATCAATTTTGATACGTTTTGAAAATTATGGTCATAAAAATCATAATGGAACATGGACCGGAATGATTGGTGAAATTTTTGCTAATGTAAATTCCATTTATTTTTTTCTGGAAAATAAAAAAAAATTCAATTTCATTTTTCTCTCATTCCTTCACAATAGAGAATGGACATTAGCTTTTCATCGACAGCAATGATTTATGAACGATATGTTGATATTGATTTTCTTTATCCACATTGGTTTGATCGTTATACATATGCTACATTACCACCGGATGAATTATCTGTTAATAATTTTGATATTTTTATTCGTCCATTTGGAATGAATGTTTGGTTTTGTATTGGTTTAACTTTTTTGTTATTCACAATATTTGAACGAATAAAATATCTAATGGCTATTACAGCCAATTTAAATCGATTTAGCAATATAAAATCATCTGCTAATCATCATTTAGTACATATTGGTATTCATTTATTATTCAATCAATCATATCCAAATATAAATCGAATGAATTTAGCAAAAAAATTAATATTCATTATATGGGCATTATGTACAGTTGTTTTGACAAATTATTATTGTAGTTATCTTTTTTCAATGATTTCTGTACCACCAAATATGGCAATTGATACGATGGATAAATTAGTTGATGCTTGTCAATCACATCAAATCAATATTTTCGGTCCCGATCATACATTTATTAGCGATTCATTTGGGGTCAGTGTTTTTTTGTTACAAATCAATAAATCAATATCTTTACTTGTTTCTGTTCTCAATTATCTATAGAAATCTGATGATCCATTAATGAAAACAATGTGGAAATGTTTACAATTAGTGGACAAAATTGAAAATTATCTACCAATACCAATGGCAATGAAAAATCGTAAAAATAATCATAAACAATTAGCAATGATTAGTTCGGTATCAAGATTAATTTATGCACAAATTGTACTTGGAACACGTTCATTATATTTACCACCATTAGATAGAGATGCATCATATTTTTATCAATTAATGATAGCATTACCGATTAGTCAAACATTACGACCATATCGTCATGAATTTCGTATGATGTAAGTTTTCTTTTTTTTTTGTAACAAAGGTGAATTAATTTGTTTTTGCACACATTTTTTCAAAAAAATAAGTATTGAATATCTTCGTGGATCGGGTTTGTATCGATATTGGTGGGAACAAGAAATACAATATGCACAATTATTAAATCGAAATGAAAAAATTCATTATGATAAAACTGTTTTTGATGGTGATTTTTCCATATTACAGATTAATCATTTGGAAAATGTTTTCCTTATTTATATTGCCGGCATTAGTATCGGTTTATTTAGTGTTATCATTGAAATATTTATCCATAAACGACAACAATCCAATTCCGTTCAGTAATGATAATGAAATTGATTTCCGGCTATCATAAATGTATGCCATCATTATTGATAATTAAATTACTAAATGTATTTAGTGCATAAGATGAAAATATTAATAAATTAAAATTGATCGATCAATTTAATGTTTAATAACAAATAGTAAAACAATTGTCAAACAAGTGCAAATAGTGCAAATTCATTTTGAATATACAAAAGTACCTAGAAAAAAAATGCTGTTGATCGATTCATTTAATTTTCGTTATACAATATGAATGTTTAATGAGAAAAATAATTATAATTATAATATTAATAACATTTGTAAAAAAATATTGAATGAATCCACACAATTCAATTTGAATGATGAGATAAAATTCATATTTCAAATTGAATAATTTATAATCATTTGAGGTTTCTGTTTGTTGATTGATTGATTGATTAGAATCATGGAACGAATAGATTTATCCAATACAACTTTACGTATCGGAATTAATCCGGTTTGTATTTTTTTTACAAAAAATTTCATTAATATTCATCAATTCTAACGTTTTTGGTTTGATTATATTTTAAGTATCCACCTTTTATGCGTATTAATCATATTAGCCAAGTTATCAATGGTATTGAAGGTGAAATGTTGAAAATATTTCAATCATATTTTAATTTTTCGACAATTATGATAAACATAAACGATGATTATGGTAATGAAAATATTGATGGTACTTGGTCAGGAATGATGGGTGAAATTCATGCCAATGTAAATTATTGTATTTAAATGATTGATGATTTTTACATTTCAATTCAAATTTTTTTCCAATTCATATCATAGCGAATGGATATTTGTTTTTCAGGAGCAGCAATGATTTATCAACGATTTTTAAATATTACCTATTTATATCCACATTGGTTAGAAAAATATAGTTATATTACATTATCACCACGTACAGTACCATCAAATGATTTTGATATGTTTATTCGACCATTCGATACTAATATTTGGATATTATTATTTTTTTCATTCATTTTATTATTTATTGTTGATAAAATTTTTAATCAATATTCATCGATAAAATTAAAAAAACAAAATAATAATAAACATTCCGAAAACAATATAGCTTGGATATGTTTTCGTTTATTATTTCGTCAACAAATATCATTTCCAATTGATTGGATTAAATGTTTGAATGCCGGTAAAATGATCATAATTATTTGGATATCATGTTCATACATATTGACAACATATTATGGTAGTTATCTTTATTCAGTTATTTCTGTACCACCGAATAATGCAATCGATACAATTGAAAAATTATCCGATGCATGTCAATCAAATCAGATTGAAGTATTGGCAATGAATAATTCATTCCTGATGGATTCATTCAAGGTGATTCTTTTTTGCAAAAGTTTATTTCATTTTTTAATTTTTTTTTGTTGTTGTAATCATCAGTATACAACCGATCCGTTACTGAAAAGTATCTATAAATGTATGGAATTTGTCGATCATAAAGAATCATTATTACCATATCGAATGTTATTTCAATGTTCAACAATAAATGATTGTCAAAATGATCATCTTGAACGTCGTCGTCGTCGTCGTGGACGACAACAACAATATGCTTATCTAAGTTCGGTTTCACGTACATATTTTTCACAATTAAAATTCGGTCAAGAATTACTTTATATACCACCATCAAATGGTGAATCATATTTTTATAATGTATTTGTTGCATTACCAATAAGTAAAACATTACAACCATATAGTAAATCATTTAATCTTATGTAAGTAAGATAAAACATTTTTAAAACTTAAATATAAATTTGAAAAAAAAAATTCTAGTATCGAAAATCTACGTGCATCCGGCCTATACAATTATTGGCGTGAAAAAGAAATAACATGGGCAAAATTAGAACATCGTAAACAACAGGTACCAAATATTCGTAATATATTTAATGGTGATTTTACTATACTTACTGTTTATCATCTGGAAAATGTATTCTATGTTTATCTAGCCGGTATGATTATTGCATCAATAATTCTGACAAAAGAATTAAATCATATGAATTGTTTTGTACGAAAAATTAATCATTTTATTAATAGATGTTATTGTTTTTTCAATATAATATCAAAAAATATTTTATAAAAATAGATTTCATTTGATTGAAATGTTCTTAATGTTTTTTTTTTGTTTTTGTTTTGAAATCATACTTTCAATAGATGCTAATAATAATTTCTTTCGAATTCAAACTTATAAATGTTGTAGGTGTTTTTCTTTTCTTCTTTCTTTATTATTTGTATTTTGCTGAACAATAAAATTCTTATAAATAAAATGTCATTATTAATGTTTGTTATTGGTGAAAAAAACAAACAAACAAACAAACCAAACAACAATATTAAGTACATTCATCGGAAACCTTATCAAATAGTAATCAATTATATATTCTAATGTAAATATTAATAATTTTATTTGTGATCAGAGTAACCATGGTAAACTATAGAATTAAAAAAAAACAGGATAATATGATTATGAAATAATAAAGAGAAAAAAAAAGTTTCTAAACATGTTTATAGCATTGCAGCAACATCATATCTGGATCATAATCGTTGTCGATACATAGGAAAAAAAAGAAAAGAAATGTCGATAATACGAATCGGTATTAATCATGCACCACCATATGTACGATTAGATTCGAATGGACAAATTGTTGGCGGTATTGAAGGACGATTATTTCAAATGTTTCAAAAACATTTTAATTTTACAGCCATTTGGATTAATATTGAAAATAATTATGGCCGTAGATGGCCAAATGGTTCATGGTCCGGTATGATTGATGAAATTTTGTCAGATGTAATTTTTTTTTTCATTAAAATCTTGATTCTGTTGAAACAAAATTTTTAATTGTTTTTTTTTTATTTTCAACAAAAAAAAACACTTACATTATCATCATCAACATGTATACAGCGAATGGATATTTGTTTTGCAGGTACAGCATTAACATATGATCGAAATAAGTTTATCAATTATCTTTATCCACATTGGATTGAAAGATATACCTATGCAACATTACCACCTATTCGAATGAATAATTTCGATACGCTAAGACGACCATTCGAAACATTAGTTTGGCTATCGCTTTTGGCTGTTTTTGTTGCATTTTTTCTTATTGATTGGATTTATAATCGTTTATTTAAAATAGATAATCATAAACGTGTTTCGGGGAAAAAAAATATTAATCTAATTTTTATCAGTATTCGATCATTATTACAACAATCATCGGAAACACAATGGAATCAATTTGATAATATTTCAATAAAATTTTTAAATATCATTTGGACATTATCAGCCACAATATTGGTTGATTATTATGAAACTTATTTATTTTCAATGATGTTTATGCCAGTAATCGATACTATCGATACTATTGAAAAATTATCCAATTATTGTGGAACGGATAAGGCAATTGTTATGGGTTATAATAATACGTTTATAAGCAATGCATTATCTGTAATTATTAAATAGAATTTTTTTTCATCATTAATCAAGCATTGATATTTTATTTTTAATATATTAAAGAAATCGACTGATCCAATTCTACATACGTTATCAAAATGTTTCGAAATAGCGGATGATAAAACTGGTATTCTTCCATGGCAATTTTTACAAAATTCTCATTCAAAATATCGTTGTGCATTTCTTAATTCAGAATCACGTTTAACATTAGCCTATAATGTTTTAGGATCGGAAAAAATTTATTTACCACCATTTTCTGAAGGTAAATCAAATTTATTTCAAAAATTTGTTGCTCTACCAACAAGTCGATCATTTCAACCATATTATCATCAATTTAATCGATTGTAAGTTTTTATACGATTCAAAAATCTTAAAAATTTCTAATTTATCCATTTTTTTAAAAAAAGTATAAAAAATTTTCATTCAACTGGTTTGCTATTAAGTTGGTTTCAACGGGAAATTATGTGGGCCAAATCACAATATTGGTATTATACGATATATAATAACAATGGTAGAGGCGGTGGTGGTGGTGGACAGGATTCATATCAATCAACATTAACTATAGATGAAGTTGAACATATTTTCTACATCTATCTAATTGGTATAATTATATCGATGATATTTTTTCTAAAAGAATTGAATCAACGATCGATTCGAATTTGAATTTTAGATAAAATAAAGAACGAATAGAAAATACAAAAAAAATGTCAATGTATGTTTTATGCAAATGAAAAGAAAATGATAGTAATTGAATTAATTGTAATAAATTTTCTATAACTATTATATCGATCTGAAATAAAGAAAAAAAATTGATCTACAATTAAATAAATATAAAAGCATTTTCTTTGTTTCATCAAAAAAAAATAATAATAATAATTTTCATCTCTCAATGTCAAAACGTTGTTATATTGTTGTTGTCGTCGTCGAAAAAAACCGAAATGCAAAGATTTTCATTAACCAACAAAACATTCACTATTGGAATCAATCAGGTATTATGTTTTTTTTTCGTTCTGAAATTTTTGATTCTGAAATTTTTTTTTCAAATTTCAAATTTTCTCCATTTGAAAAAAAAGTATCCACCATTCATCCGGATCGATGTTGATGGATCAACAATTCTCGGTGGATTTGAAATCAAAATCCTATATTTATTACGTGATTATTTTAATTTTTCAACAAAATTCATCAATACACATGATAATTATGGTAAATTATTGACAAATGGAACATGGACTGGAATGTTTGGCAACTTAACAACCAATGTAGGTTAATTGATTGATTAATTTTTTTTACAATATCATTATCATTTAAAAAAAACTATCTAAATATAAATCTAAATCTTGAAGCAAATGGATCTAAGTATTTCTGGTGCTGTTATTAGCGACGACCGTATAAGAAATAATATTAGCTTTCTTCATCCACATTGGCAAGAACAATATACATTTGCAACATTACCGCCACGTATGGTACGATCACATAATATTGATATATTTTTACGTCCATTCGAAATGAATGTTTGGTTAGCATTATTCATAATGTTGATATTATTGAATTTAATCAATATTTTTGTAAGCTTATATTTCCGGAAAAACAATATTCAACAAATTAAACAAGATCATCATCATAAACATCATCTACCATGGTCATTTAGTATACGTTTATTATTGAATCAATCATATCATTGGTCATATTGGAATCGTATGGCTATATCAATGAAATTTATTCTTATAACATGGTCATTTGCCATATTGATATTAAATCAACATTATGTTAGTTTTTTATTTGCATTTATTTCATTATCACCAACAATTCCTGCCATTGATTCAATTGAAAAATTAGAAAAAGAATGTTTGAAAAAAAATGTTGAAATTTTTGCTGATTCTGGTTCATTCATGTCGAGTGCCTTAAAGGTTTGTTATGTGATTGTTATATTGATTTTTTTTTCATTTATTTATTATCTCATATGAAAAAAAAGAGAACTAAAGATCCGATCATGAAAAATATTCACCGATGTTTAACAGCCATTTCAAATGAACGTGGAATCATTCCACCACAAATGTTATATGATGATTATACATCCAATTATAATGAACTTAATCAACAAAAACAAGAACATCAAAAAGTGATGAAACGACGATCAAAAAAACGATGGAAACAATATGTATATATTAATTCAAAATCTCGTCTCACCTATGCATTATTAATATTGGGACCTGGTTCAATATATATACCGGCTTTAAATGATGATTTTCGAACAACATTATTATTGACTCATGTAGCCATACCAACAAGTCCATCATTTAGGCCATATCGTCATTCATTTGAACGTGTGTAAGTGTGTGTGTTTGTTCTATTTTGTTCTTCCGTCCAAAATAAGATAATAATTTCATTAACAATTTTTCTTAAATCATTATTTTTAGGATAAAAATAATACGTTCATCAGGAATTTTAATGTATTTGATCAATAAGGAAATAACGGAAGCAAGATTATACAATCGTACAATGATTAAATTTCAATTTGTTGAACAAAATAAAAAATTTGATGAATTAAATATTGAAAATTTAGCCAATATATTTTTCATATTTTCAATTGGAAATCTATTATCGATATTGATATTTATTGGTGAAATTTTTATCGGAAAAATATTGATAATTATTAATCGAAATAAATTAATGAATAAAATTTATCCAATTAGATAAATAATATTTAAAAAAAAGAGATTATTATGTAATATTTAAGTCAAATGTAATTAAAAGTTTATACAAATGTCATTATAATTACTGTTGATTAATAAAAATAAAATTATATATATTTTTAATTAGAAAAATCAATTAAATAAATTTATTATTATTAATAATCGATTCAATCGATATTTCACAAAAAGAAAATTTCTATGAAAAAATGAAACATTTACGAAAAAAAAGAGATATGGTATTTTGGTGAAGATCAATGGTGAAAGCATTGAGAAAAAAAACAAATTTTCAATGTTCATGTTTTTGTGTGATAAAACAGAAACTCAAAACAATACAATGAGATTGAATCTGTTGGGAAAAAATTTCCGAATCGGAATCAATTACGTATGTTTATTTTTTTTATCAAAAACATTCTGATTCTTTCAATTAAGGTTTTCTTCATTTTTCATTAATCTTTTCATTTCCAGTATTCACCATTTACAGCGATCGAATTGAATCAAACATCATTATCAACAAAATCATGGCAAACGAATGGAATCGAAATCGAAATAATCAATACGATGGCAAATTATTTTAATTTTTCTTATAAATTAATCAATTATAATGGTATTTATGGTGATCCAATCGATAATAACTATATTAATGGTACATGGAGAGGTATTGTCGCCGGATTGATAGCCAATGTATGTCTGTTAATCAATCAACCAATCTAATACAAAGAAAACAAAAACAAATGCAAATGAATGAATTTCTTTTTACCCTTTTATTTTCCTTATCTTTCAAGCAAATTGATTTCGGTATTGGTGGTATAACCGAAAAATATGAACGACATAAAGTGATAAAATTTCTTTATCCACATTGGATTGATCGATTAACGTATGCAACAACAATGCCCGAAAATGAACAACAACAATATTTGGATAGATTTTTTCGTCCATTTCATCCAATCGTTTGGTTAATGTTGATAATGGTATTTATTTCGTTTATCATATTCAAATGGTTTGATGATAATCTATCAATAATGTTGTCGAATCAAAAACAAAATGATTTTATTTGGTCAATTATATTTCGTACATTATTACGACAACCATTACCATCAATGATGATTACAAATAAACAACAAAAAAAATCAAAAAAATTTATATTCATTATTTGGTTATTAGCGACAATTATTCTAACATCAGCATATTCTGGTTGTCTTTTATCGAATATAGCTATACCAAAATTAAATTATATTGATAGTATTTGGAAATTAATTGATTCAATGCATACAGGAAAATTATTAATGATTGGTACTGATAATGAATTTAATTTTTTAAAGGTAAAACAAAAACAAAATTAATCATCATAAGCATTGACAATCGATTTATTTAAAGGGTTTTCTTGAAAAACGTTTAGCCGAAAATCCTCATATGAAACATTATAATGTTAGTACAATGATTAAAAATCATCGTCAAAGTTTACGAACATTGATTGATGAATCGACAAAATTTTCACAACATAATCATAATGATGATGATGAAGATGATTATGATTATAATCATTATAATCGACGACAATTGGCTATATTATTATCAAATGAACGGGCAAATCTAATTCGAATATCAATAGGTTACGGTTTATTCTATCTACCACCAAATAATCCATTAACAACAATAAATCAGAATATAATATCGATTGCCATTAACAATCATCTACATGATCAATATCATCGAAATTTTAATCAATTGTAAATTGATCAAGACAAAAAAAATTGAATTTATTCAATCAATTAATTTTTCATTTTTTAAAAAATTTCTTAGAATTCAACGAATAATAACTACTGGTTTACAGCGATTTTGGGGATTAAGATTTGCATTGTATTCAAAGCAATTCTATCGAACACTTCATGGACAATCATCAATGACGACAACAACAACAACAACATTATTATTATCGGATCGTGATCGATTAGATACATATTGGTTTCATGGTTTAACCCATAACAATATCGATATCGATAATGATGGAATAATGAAAACATCGATTAAAACAATACGAATAAAAAATTTAATCATTATATTCTATGTTTATCTAATTTTCAACTTAATCGCAAGCTTATTATTTATAATGGAAATATTTTACTAATATTTTAATCGCCCATCACCACCACCATACAAAAATTGATTGATTGAAAATGATTAACATAATGAGAATGCGTACAAGTGTGTATTTATCGGAAACAGAAAACAAAAACTATAATAATATTTAGCAAAGTATATAATTAAAATAAATGATTATTGATTGAATTCTAATAATGATAATGATGATGATGATGATATGATCGTAAATAATAAGGAAAAAAATATGAAATTATTTTGTGACAAAATTCCATATATGTGGAATTTATTAGCAAACACACACACACACACATCATCACCATCATCATCAATCATCATAGGTAAGATATTGGAAGAATTTTTTTTGAAAAAAATTAAGAAAAAAGAAATTTTCAAGTTTCTACAAAACAATAACCACGACAACAACAACAACAACAATGCGAATAAATTTACAACAGAGAAAATTTCGTATCGGTTTTAATTATGTAAGTATTTTAAATCTTTTTTTTTGTTTTTTAATTCAATTTTCAAATTAAATTTTAAATTATTTTCATCAATAAAAATGATTGAAATTGATCTAAAGAATCCACCTTATTCAGCGATTAAGCTTAATTCTCGAAGTTATAATGGTTTTGAAGATGAAATGTTCAATATATTGGCCAAATATTTTAATTTTACATATGATTTAATTAATTTTAATGGAGAATATGGTTTTATAGATGATAATGAAAATTGGGATGGTTTAATTGGTGGATTAATTAATAATGTAAGATTTGATTTTTTTTCAAAAACATAATTGAAATTATTAATTTTTTTTCGATGAAAACAAAAAACTGTTTATAAAATAAGTCAATCGATATTGCCTATAGTGGAATTTCATTGAATGCTGAACGTTATAAAATTGTTGATTATCTTTATCCACATTGGCATGATCAAATAACATTTATAACAAACATTGTTGAAAATAAACATAATATGAATAAATTTTTACGACCATTAAGCATGTCCATTTGGATTACATTGATTTTGTGTTTTATTCTATTTTTTCTATTCAATTTTCTATACAATATTTTAATGAAACCGATTATCAAATATCATGAAGAACATTTATTATGGATTATATTGGGAGAATTTTTTCGACAACCATATCAATGGTTTAATCGATTAAATTTGGCAAAAAAATTTATTATAATATGTTGGTCGGCCGCTATATTCGCATTAACCAGTTATTATTCTGGTTGTCTTTCATCTGAATTAACCATACCGGATACTGATCAAATAAATAGTATTTGGGAATTATTTGAAATGTTCCGTTCGGATCAAATTATAATGGTCGGTTCACCAATTATAAACAATATTTTCAAAAGGGTAATCAATTTTTTATAATCTGAAAAGTGTAATTATGAAATATAATGATAATTTTTCCTTATCTAAATCAATAGACATTTATTGCAAATCATAATGAATTGACAAACAATTTAAAAGATAATTTAATCTTATTCAAAAATCGTGAAGAAAGTTTACAATTTTTATTTAACAAAACATATGATGAAATGGATAATGAGAATTCAGATATTGAATTTAAATATGGACAACAACAAACTGGAACGCTTATAACAAAAACTAGTGCTGATTATCAAGAAATAATTTCCGGTAAAAATTCATTCTATCTACCAAAAATTGAAATGGATACACTTATTGAAACAATATTTATTGCAATTCCATTCAATCGAAAAACATTTAAACAAGATGAACATGATGAATTTAATTTAGTGTAAGTAATAAATGATAATTGTTCAAAATGTTATTAATTAATAAATTATTTGACGATTAGATTAAGTCAATTTTCACATTGTGGTCTACTTGATTATTGGTTAAATCAATTTTGGCATAAAATACAAGTCGATAAAGTAAATCAACGAAAACAAATTGTAGCAAAATTCAGAAATGATGATGATGATCAATTATACAAACAAACAATACAAATGAATATGGAACATATGAAAATTGTATTTAATATTTATCTAATATTTTTATTACAAACATTTTTTATTTTTATTATCGAATTAATCATTTTTAACATTGAAATTATTCATTGATTTTATTCATCACTAATATCATTAAATCATTGAAGTGAATGTTTGAAAAATTTTAATAATTTCAATTAAAAAATGACTGGATAAGTATACAGAGGAAAAATGATATTTTGTATTCATTCAAATTGTAATTAAAAGAATATACAAATGTTTCGACTATGTTTATCTAATCTTCAACTTATTCAATTTTTAACTTATTATTTATAATGGAAATATTTTACAAATATTTTAATCGCCCATCACCACCACCATACAAAAATTGATTGATTGAAAAATGATTAACATATTGAGAATGCGTACAAGTGTGTATTTATCGGAAACAGAAAACAAAAACTAAAATAATATTTAGCAAAGTATATAATTAAAATAAATGATTATTGATTGAATTCTAATAATGATATTGATGATAATAATGATGATGATGATAAGATCGTAACAATAAGGAAAAATATATGAAATTATTAGGTGACAAAATTCCATATATGTGGAATTTACTAGCAAACACATACACACATCATCAATCATCATATGTAAGATATTGTAAGAATTTTTTTTTTGGTAAAGAAAAAAGAAATTTTCATAAAAACAAAAACAACAACAACAATGAAAATAGATTTACAACAGAGAAAATTTCGTATCGGTGTTAATTATGTAAGTAATTTTTCTTTTGAATTAAAAAATTTTTGTTTTAATATTTAAAAAATCAAATGAAGGATCCACCATATTCAGCCATTTCAGTGAATAATAAAGTTCCTAATGGTTTTGAAGATGAAATGTTTAGAATATTGGCCAAATATTTTAATTTTACATATGATTTAATTGATTTTAATGGAGAATATGGTATCCAAGATGATAAAGGAAATTGGGATGGTCTAATCGGTGGATTAATTAATGATGTAAGATTTGATTCGAAACAAGTTTCAAGACAAATTTGATTGAAAATATTAACATTTTTTTTCATTTTGTATTTGATTGAAATAACAAATAGTCAATCGATCTTGCCTATGGCGGAATTTCATTGAATGCTGAACGTAATAAAATGGTCGATTATTTTTATCCACATTGGTATGATCAATTAACATTTTTGACAAATATTATCGGAACCAAACAGAATATGGATAAATTTCTACGACCATTCAACATAACCATTTGGATAGCATTGATCTTGAGTTTTGGTCTATTTTTTCTATTCGATTTAGTATACAATAATCTGATGAAACCGACCATAAAATATCGTGAAGAACAATTATTTTGGATTATATTGAGAGAATTTTTTCAACAACCATATCAATGGTATAATCGATTAAATTTGGCTAAAAAAATTATAACAATTAGTTGGTCGGCAGCAATATTAGTATTAACTGGTTATTATTCGGGCTGTTTATTATCCGAATTAACCATACCGGATAGTGATCAAATTGCAAATATTTGGGAATTTTGGGAAAAGTTTCATTCAGGTCAGACTATAATGGTTGGTTCTAGAAATTTGAACAATTTATTTAAAGAAGTAATTATTTTAAATAAAAATTTATATGGTTATAATTTTTAAAAAATTTTATTGCGAAATATTCAGAAATTTATAGCCATTTATAATGAATCAATAACGAATTGGAATGATAATATAGTCGAACTAAATAATCTTAAAGGACGTTATGATTTTTTAATTGGCAGAAAATCATATGATAATCAATTGATTAATAAACATGAACAGCAACAAATTGCTATGTTTTCAACAAAAGCTACTGTTGATTTTCAGGAGATAATTTTGGGAAAAAATTTATTCTATTCACCTGCAATTGAAATGGATACAATTATTCAAACAATATTTGTCGCAATACCAATCAATCGAAAAACATTCAAACATAATCAACATAATGAATTTAATCTAGTGTAAGTAATAAATGATTATTTTTAGAAATTAACAGAAAAAAAATAACTCTAAATCATTCGATTAGATTAAGTCAATTTTCACAATGTGGTTTACTTGATTATTGGATAAATCAATTTTGGCATAAAACACGAATCGATAAAGCAAACCAACAAAGACAGATTAAAACGAAATTTGAAAACGATTATGACCATAATGATGATCAATTATCTAAACGAACAATACAAATGAATATGGAACATATGAAAATTGTATTCAATATTTATTTAATATTTTTATTACAAACATTTTTCATTTTTATTATTGAATTAATCATTTTTAATATTGAAATTATTTATCGATTTTATTCATCACTACTATTATTGAATCATTGAAATGAATGTTTAAAAATTTTTTAATTATTCCAATTAAAAAATGTTGGAAAAGAAAAAATGACATTTTTTTTCTTTCATTCAAACTAAGTTTGAATAAAATAGGAACCCCAAGGTTTTTTTTGGTTACTAATCTACATGAGCCATAAGTTTTTCATAAAAACATCCAACAAGAAGCAAAAAAATGATCGATCAAAATAAGAATGTCGTTTGCAAATGACGGTTTTTCTTTTCTTTCTTTTTTTTCTATCAAAATTATAGAATCCAAATAATGTCAAAAACATTTGTGTGTTTCGGTTAAATACACGAGAACAGATTCGCTATTACAACTACCATATGGAAAAAATTATACTTAAAATGAAACAAAATTGTGTAATATGTTTGACCGACATTCAAGAGTAAACTTTTCGTCTTTTTTTTTGCTTCTATATTCATTTTCTAATGAAAAAAAAACCTCATGAATGTCAAAATGTGTAGAATTGACCGAAAACAAAAACAATAAAAATAGCCAAAAGTGAACGAAACAAAATTCAATTATGCGAATAATATTATAATATTACTTATGATGATGGTTATTGTTGTTGTTGTCGTTGTTTTTATTGGTGAAAAAGCCAAAAAAAAAAATACTGAACATTCACAAATTAAATAATTTTATCTATACATAATAATTTGAAACATTTAGCTTGATGAAAAATAACCAGATTTTGCTTTTTTACAATAATAATAACAACAACAACAACAATTTCTCTGGTTTATTTCAATTTTTGTTTATGAATTTTTTGTTTTGTTTTTAAATAAAATTGATGATTGATTATGGATGTATATGAATATCATTTTGATAATTATCTGTTGTTGTTTTTGTTTCTCTCGCTAAAGATAATTATCAGTAATTATAATGATGATGCTAACAACAACAACAACAACAAAAACAATTAATCGACAATCAAATCATTGATGATGATAATGATAATGTTTATCAAAAATCAATTTTGATCATTTTTAACAAAAAAAAACAACGTAATTTAATAATATTGAAAATCGATCCAAATCAATAACGTCATCATCATCATCATTAATATTGATAAAGAATTGAATAAATAAAAACAAAAATTTCGAAATAAATTTCGAAATTTCGTTTTTATAGAGAATTTTTTTTTGTTGTTGTTTTGTTTCATTCAAATAGCCATAAGCTTAAACAACAGCAACAAAGATAATAACAAAAACAACAACAACAACAACAGAAAAAAATGAATAATAAATGAATATTTCCGTCGCCATCATCATTGTTGTTGTTGTTGTTGTTGATAATGATGATGAGGATGGTGATTGTATATAATGACCAAGAGAGAGAGAGAGAGAGAGAGAGAGAGAGAGAGAGAGAGAGAGTGGGGAAAAAAAATCAGGTGTGGGCAGCAATGATAACAAGACANTTGTTGTTGATAATGATGATGAGGATGGTGATTGTATATAATGACCAAGAGAGAGAGAGAGAGAGAGAGAGAGAGAGAGAGAGAGAGAGATTGGGAAAAAAAATCGGTTGTGGTCAGCAATGATAACAAGACAAATATAAACTATAAAACAAAACGAAGAAAAATTCAGTAGGCAGTAAACGAAAAAAGAAATGATGAAACTTTTTTTTTTGGTTCCTGGAACACATAACCGGTACACCAGATTGTACTGGTCCAGTATTGTTTGATTTTATTGGCGCTCATTTAATTCTAATGATGAACGATTCCTGTGTTCAGAAGAGTGGGATAGAAATAGACAAAAAGAGAAAGAGATAACGAAGAACAAGAAAAAAAAATTATAGCCATTATCATTAACTTATAATTTCCATCAATAGGATTTTGTTGTTGTTGTTGTTGTTGTTTTTCACTAATTTTCTTTACGAAAAACAAAACAATATAATGAAATGAAAGAAAAACAACAACAAAATGATAACAACAACAAAGAGATTTACAACAAATCGAGCATGAAGAAATGAACAAATTGAACCAGAAATCGATCGAGAAAGAAAATAAAGAAAAAAATTTGTAGATAAGAAAAGTAAAAGAATTGGCTTTTCTTATAAATTTTTTCTTCTCATAAATATCGATAATGATCATCGATGACGGTAGTGATGATGGTGATATAAAGATAATCATGATGTTTTTCGTGTTTTTAGTTATATAATTTATGTGATTGTTTCATGTTTAGATGTTTTCAATGTTTTGTTCCAAGGAATTATAGGTTTGTTTTGTTATTGCATTTCATTTGGTTGTTACAAATTGTCAATAACCGAATAACCCACGACACACGCACACCATGGATATATTTCATATCTTTAATAACAATAATCGAAAAAAAAATTCATTATATTCCAAATTTCAATCAAACAAATTGTTCAATATATTGATAATAACATTTGAGGGAGGACAGGAGAAAGACGATTTTTCATTTCAAACTAATTTGAAATTGAATAACAACAACAACAAAATCTGTTGTGATTTTGTAATGATCATTTTATATAAACTATTGAAATTTTCTATAAAACAGTTCTACATGTGTATCAATAAATAACAATACAAAAAAGATTATATAGAATCGGAAAGAGAACGAACGAACAAAAAAAAAATTCATAAATAAAGTAATTTATTAACATTTGAAATTCATAAATTTTATAACAACAACAACAGAAGTTATGAAGTTGAAAATTTCCCACCCGAAAAAAAATGTTAGGAATTTTTTTTTTGCTTCGCTAATTTAAAATTCAAATAATCTCAGTGAAATACATTATCAGTATCTCAGTAAATTTAATACAATTTTTTTTCTGGTGGGATGATTGTAGGAGTAAAAAAAAACTACTTTTTCCAAATAGAAAAAAAAAGATTATTAACATTATTATTCTTTTTTTTCGGCAGAAGAATCAAGTTAATAATGATAATAAATATTATTACTTTGATTGAAATCAATGTTTTTTTGTTGTTGTTGTTATTGTTATACGCTTAATTTGCTTTAAATTCAATTGGGAAACGAGAAAAAAACACATTTGGACAGAAACAAATTATAAATGAAAAAGTCATGTCAAAATGATGATTTGAATTTTTGACTGATGTTTAAATCATAAAAAACAAGAAACTACGTTTAAAAAACATTAAAATTAATGATTGTGAGAAGGTGAGGAAATAATTAATTCCATGATGATTCAAAGAATTAGAAAAAGAAGAAGAAGAAGAAGAAGAAACAAACAAACAAACAAACAATAAAAAGAAAATGCTAATTAATTTTGTTTTATGTTAATTAGCATCATACACAATTCTGACAACAACAACAACAACTACAAAAAAACATTCAGGTTAAATAAAATTTTAAGTTTTTTCAAATTAAAATTTTGTTTCGTCATGTTGTATCCGAATCAATGAAATGCGCATGATTCCAAAGAATTTTTGGTTTAGTTTTACTCTGGATGGATTCCTTTAAAATATTCTTTTCGATTTGAGCAATCTCAATGACTCAGAACGCGAATACGGAATGAATTTTCGTTTTCCAATTTTCCTGTCATTTTGGATTCATCATTCGATCAATTTCATTTGGTTCTTGATTTGTTCACGATCAATCGAATCGATGACCAAAATAAAACATTATTGTATTCTGATTTTGGAAACTTTAAGATTTTCAATAACAACAACAAAGGTTTTGTAATTTTTTTCTTCGCTCATTACTTGTTATGTGTTTAGTTGGTGCTTTGGGTGCAAATTCAAATTTCATTTCAAAACAAAACAAATATCTGATGCTGCTGTTGTTCATTTCGAATCAATTATCTCGGTGAAAATACCTGTTTTACCAAAAATTTATCATTTCCGTTTGTTTTTGTGAATGATGAGAGGAAACAAGAGAAACAAATGAAAATTTGTTTTTGAATTTCCATCAACAACGAAAAAAACGAACGAACGAACCGAATTTAAATAAAAAAAACCAAAAATTAATGAATTTTGTTGTTTATTTGATCAAACCAAGCAACAAAACGATCCATAGAAAAAAAATCCAATCCAATCCAAAATTGTTTTTTTTTTCAATTTCCAATTTACAACGACAAATGACAATTGTGTGAACAATCAAGAAACAAACGAACGATAAAAACGAGAAAAGAAAAATTCAATAATTAACTGGAGGGACAAAAAAAAAATAAATTATGTTAATGAGAATCTACATCATTCGGTAAGTAATCACAGAATTTCATTATAATTTTCTTTGGAATGAATTTTAGAAACATACTTTCTTCTTCTTCTTCTTCATTGCTATTCGATCGAATAATTAAGAAAATCTTATAATTAATTTCATCTGATTAACATATTCATGATGATTATCATCATAGTGATAATGAAAACGAAAAAATTAATCGCAACAACATAAGCATTATATTTCTTGCAATTTTCTGTCAAAAAAAAAGAACCATAATTCTTTTCATGTTTGATAGAAAAAAGATCAAACAACATTCTAAATATGAGAAATTCAACAAATCCTATCCAATGAACTGAAAATTTGATCAATGAAACATATACACACACACACACACACACAAAATTATTTCTCCCCCAGTGCAATAATCTTATTCAAATCTAATCTGATAAAAATGTATTTATGTGTGTGTGTGTGTGTGTCGGTGGGTTGTAAGAAGAAACGTAGGAGAAAAGCGGATTTTTTTTATGTTTTTGTAAACGTAACAAAAAAAGAAAAGAAAAAATGAAACGTAGCGTAAATTGAAATTTCAGATTACAAAAATAAAAGTAGCAAATTTATAAATAAATTTTTTTTTGTTCTGTTTTGCCTGTCATTTCCAGTTACCGCCTAAATAAAGAAAAAATGACACATATATAAAAAAAAACACCGGAGAAATAAGATCATTATCGAAGGTTATCTCGGTGTTCTAGTTGTTGTTGTTGTTTTCTTAATTCTTACTTTCACACCTACACTGTTTTCGGATCGGATCGGATGTTTACATTTTAATCGGTAAATATCCGATAAGTAAGAAAAGAAAAGAAATACAATTACATAATCATTTCTATCGATCAAAATACACATTTCAATTGAATATAAAAAAAAACAACAAAAGAAATCGATGAAAAGAGAGAAATTGCAATATTATCGTTTGTTTTTTGTTTTGTTTTCAATAAATAAACATTTTCAATTTCTATAGAAATCTTTACAAATGTGATTCTATAGCAACAAGATTCTTGTTTTTGCTTTTTTTTGATAAGCAAAATAAAGAAAGAAACAAAAAAAAAAGGTAATTTACATTAAAAAATTTTAATGTTTGCTTTTTTTTCCCATCAATTTTTATGTTTTATCATCAGTTTACTGATCAGTAAAACATGCAAAAAAAGGGTTAAAAATTAATGAATTTTTTTCCACTAGTACATTAATGGAGAAAAAAACAACCCTGTCTTGTTAAAAATATACATTTTTTTCTCCCATATAAATTCACCAGAGAATTTCATTACATACATTATACCGAATTTGCATATCATTTTTTTTCAAACAAACATCTTAGTGAATTAACATTCATATAATGGTCATTTGATCGAGGAGAGACAGACAGAAAAAAGCATCATAATCATCAACCACCACCACTATGTTATTTTATTTTTATAATCTTGATGTCAACCAATGAATGATGAGGAAAAAAGGATTTTTTTTTAAGTTTAACATTAAAGATTCATTAAGAATAAATTATTTAAAACAACAACAACAACAACAACAAAACTAATGAAGTGATGGTAAAAAACAAAGCAAAATTATTCCAAAATGATAATGTTGTTCATAATGCTAGTTATTACTTTTTATGATTATGAAATCAAATGAGAAAACAAAAAATTCTATTCCTATCATCAAATTTGTCAAGAAACAGGAATTGGTTTTTTCCCAGTACAAACAATTTATTTCCATTGATAATAATAATAATAACCATTCAATAAATTACACATTTCTAACACCAATTGCATCACGCAAACAAACAAACAAACACACATACACATGAAAATTGATCATTATCAATGAAAAATGTTATCTATAATGATGATAATGATGATGAGGTTAAGTGGGTACAAAAACATTCATTCATTATAACTTTTTCTTGTTTGTTTTTTTTTTGTTTTTGGATCATTTCTGATGCTATTTCGGGTGTGTGTGTGTATATATGTTTAGGTGATGAAACAAACCAATTTGCTACAAAATCAAATATACACAGAATAAAACAATGTTCAATCATTATGATTCACATTCGGTGTATTTGTGAATCCGGTCCTTGGAGATGTTTGATAATATTGATGTTTTTACTTTTTGTTGTTTTTTTTCTTTGTCCAACAAACATCAAATATTTATAAATAATAGATAATAATAATTTGATTCCATTATTTTTTTTTCTACCAATCAAAAATTACCGAATTATTTTCAAAATGTCATCATCATCATTTGTTTTCATTTCGGTATTTATTTCCAAATTAAGCAAGAAAATGAAACATTTTTCATTGAAAATCAATGCCCGAGATAAAAAAAAATTTCATTTCATTTTATTTCAGTTCAACAAACACAAACCAATTTCCAATGGACAAATGTTTGAACTTTTTCATCATTTTTTGTTTTCGGAAAAAAGATTCACAAAAATGATGAAAAAACATTCAATGAATAATAAAAGTTTAATGAGAAATTCCCGTAATAAAAAATTCTATTTTCTCGTTTTTTTCCAAACAACAAAAAAAAATGTTAATCTTTTTTTTCTGTTGAATTGAAATTGAAAACAAAAGTTTGTCGTTGTTTGCTGTAGTGTTTTTGAACAAAATTGAAAAAAATAAATTGAAAAAACTACAATTTTATCATTGAAACTGGATTATAGACAAAAAAAAACAAGTAGAAAATATTTTTTCCGAATGAAAATTGAAAATTTAAACCAACGATCGAACAACAACATAAGTAGAATTTTGCCTACGCTTTTTCTTTTTGTTTTTGGATTTGAATTTATTATTTAAACAACAACATTATCTTTATTTAATGTTCCAGAATCCAATTGATGATATGATTATCGAAAAATTTCCTTTTAAAAATTGAAAAAACCAAATTAAATTCTGAAATAACATAGAATTCAAATTAATAACAGTAAATAGGAGTAATTATCTAATTCACTCATTATCATTGAGCCTATTTTGGATCATTAATTACTCACTTGATCATTCAATTTTCAAGCATCATTTTTTTGGAGAAATTTCCTGAAAATTTATCTTCTTTTTTTTCTGTTAACCACAAACAAGATCGGAATGGGGCAGAAAAAAATTCTCGATAAATTTACAATGATATTTTATAGTTTGAAAAAAAAGTTTATTCATTTTCCATAGAATATTTCGAAAAAAACCTTCATCCACGTAAAAGGAATGAATAGAATATTCTCTTGAAAACTTTTTTTAAAAAAATGATTGATCACATTTTTTTAATTCGTTAACTACAGAATCCAATGGTGAAAAGAAAAACTTTCGAAATCAACAACAATAATGATTAATCATAATCATAATCATCATTAATGGTCACAACAAACAATTCAAATGATCGATCAACATCAAACATAATTATGGATATTATAAATCAAACATTGACAACATTATCGATACCATCGATCATTCAACAGAATAATTCATTATCATCATCATCATCAACAATATCATCAACATCATCATTTACAATCGATGATATATATCAATCATTAAATAATGAAACAATAAAATTATTTTTACGTTATCATCATCATTGGTTTCATTATTTAGATCTAATTGAACGTTCAACCGATTTAAATGGAATATTTAAATTATTTTTATATTTTGCATATTTATTTGTATTTATAATTGGTATTATTGGTAATATATTGGTTTGTTGGGTTGTATTTCGTCAACAATCAATGCGTTCAGTAACAAATATTTTCATAACAAATTTAGCATTATCCGATATATTATTATGTTTATTTGCTGTACCATTTACACCATTATATCTATTGACATTTAAAGAATGGATATTTGGTCCAGTATTCTGTCGTCTAGTACCATTTGTACAAGGTTTGTTTAATTCATTTTTTTCAATTTTGTTTGTTTGTTTGTTTGGTTGTCAAATTTAAATTTAAATTTCTTATATCTCTTTTTGAATGTTTTTTATTTTTAAAAAAGGAATGTCCGTCTACATATCGGTAATGACATTAATGTCAATAGCAATTGAACGTTATATGGTTATAATTTATCCATTTAAAAGACATTTAAATATAATACATAGTGTTATTGTTATAATAATTATTTGGTTATTAGCATTTATATTAACATTACCATATGGAATATTTATTGATCTAATACCGGTACCACAAACAACAACAAAACATCAAGAACAACAACAACAACAACAACAATCGACAGAATATGATGATAATCAACAACAACAACAACAACAGCCACAATATCAATTTCTTATGTATGATAATCATAATGAAACATCTTTAATTACAAATGATCAACACGAACAACGTTCAATTGAAACATTAAAAAATTTATTACAAAATCTACAGAAACGTAAATGGTATTGTGATGAAGTATGGCCAAATGATCAATTACGTTCAACATTTGGTTTATTAACAACAATCATGCAATTTGTAATACCATTTTTTATAATAACATATTGTTATACAAAAGTATTTGTACGTCTTTGGTATCGTATGCATAATCGTCTTGGTTCAAGAAATTATTCATCACAAAGACAATGGTTAGAAAAAAAACGTGCACGTCGTACAAATTTAATGCTCATATTTATGGTTGTTGTATTTGTTATATCATGGTTACCATTGAATACCTATAATTTGGTTTGTACAATTCTTTTTTTATTTTCATTCATTTTGATTATATGTTTTTTATTTTAATTTTGGATTTGAGTTGTGTTGTTTTTTTATATCCAAATTCCATTTATTCTATGAACTTTAGATTGAAGATTTTTATATACCAATTGCATATTGGAAACATTCCAGAGCTTTATTCATGACATTTCATTTAATTGCAATGTCATCAGTTTGTTATAATCCATTTCTTTATACATGGTTAAATGATAATTTTCGTAAAGAATTTTTATCAATATTTTCAAAAATTAAAAAACATTTATATTGGTTTGCTAATCTTAAACAACAACAAAAAACAAATCGTAATAATTTATTCAATAATAAAGGAATTAATGATGATAATACAATGAATCGTGGAGATAATACAAATACAAATAATAATAATGATACTATTGGTATTGTTGGCCGTAATATGATATGGAAACCATCATTATGTGGTGGTGGCGTTGGTGTTACAACAAATATCATCACATCTGGTCATCTTGTTCCTAAAGATCATTTAGGTTTGTTTAATCGATAATCGTAATTTTTTTCTATTTTAAATTTCATTTTCTACAAAAAAAAATCATAGATTCAACACGTACAACACGTTTAAATTTAACTACAAATGATGATGATGATGACGATGATGATGATGATGATGATGATGGTGAATTAATATCAATGACACAAATTGATACAACAACCAATATGGTTACAAATTTAGAATCAATTAATCAATCAGAATTACAGGAAAGTTTATTTATAACAAGCTTACAGAATGGTATATTGGCTAGTCGTATTATTCATAATAATATAATTTCATCATTGAATGATAATGATAATAAATGAAATTCTTTAATGTTTTTTTTGCAGATTTTTAAGGAGGCGTGATATGACAACCTTTAAAAATAGATTTTATTTTTCCAAAAAACAAAAAACAAAAAATTCAATTTTGATATTTGTTTCCATCACCAAACCCAGACCAGACATACAAACACGCACACACACATTGAATTTTTTTTTCGTTTTTGTTTCAATTCTTTTTAATTTTTTTTTTAATTTTCTTTCCTTCTATTTTCACAAATGTATAAAGAATATATGAATTGTAAAAACTTTGTATTTGTTTGTTTGTTTTCGGTCTGATTTGATTTGTATTTTTTTCGTTTTTATTTTTCATGTAATTTGAAAATAAATAAATCATTGGAGAATTTTGTTTCCGTATTGATTTTGAATTGATCATCATCGAAGGAGTGGGGACAGCAAAAGAAAATGCCAAATTATTCAAAGATAAAATGAGTAATGGTTGAATAACTATGAGAGAGTTAGAATAGAAAACTTTTTACTTTGATTTTTCAATGGAATTTTTTTTTTTGCTAAGAGTTTGTTTTGGCTATTTTGAATGTTTTTTTTTTTTTTTGATCAACTATTCTATTACAGCCGAAACATTGTTGGATTTTTTTTTTTTGTATTTTTACATTTCTTTCTATAGATTGTGATGTTTCTGTGGAATTTACGATTTAGCATCTCTTCATCTTGTAATATGAATCTTTGTTGTTGGTTTTCACTTATCTCAACTCAGAAACATTGAAGCCAATAAAAAAAATATGATGAAATTGGATCTACATCAATACTGAACAGGTTTCAAATGTTTTTTTTTCAAAAATCCAAATATCTTTGGTTATTTCGACTGAAACAAGAATCTATTTAAACATTCATGAAAATTTTTGTTTCTGACCTAGATTTTTCTTTGGTTAAATTCAATATTTATTGTTTTCTCCTTCATTGGTCGAAATTCTGTATTGTGATCAATTATCAATCATGTTCAAGAGGGAGAGAGAGAGAAAGATAACAATTGAATCCATGTATGTGGCTTGTCAACCCCGAACAAAAGACTAATTCAAATTCTGGATACAAGCAAAAGACCATTCATCAAAGAATTGATTGAAAAATGTTGTCATCATCTTCATCGAATTGATTGTTTTGTTTTGTTTTCGATAATAAAAAACATTAATGTTAAATCAAAAAAAAAAGATAACCATTATTATTGTCAAAACAAACAAAAAAAAATCATCTTGAATCGCCGCTGATAAAAAGTTAAACAACGACGATTGAAAATAGATGACGACGGCAACAACAACAACAACAACAGAAATTTGACTTGATAAACAATGAATTTTGTTTTTCGTTTCTAGATGAAGAGTAATGTGAGAATAGTGAAGATTGGCTGGAAAAAAGATAAAATATCATCTTTCATTTTGTTGTAGATTTAAAAACTTCCACACATACACACACTCACACACACGATAAATAGACGATAATCATGTTTCAAAATGGTGATCAAAATAAAAAAAAATTTGAATAATCATTTATCTTATCACTTTTTATATATTGAAAATATTGAAATTTTTTTTTGTTTACTCATAAAGAATATTTTAGCTAATTAAAAAAAAATTTGCTTCCAACTTTTACAGGTTTTTCAGATCAGAATTCCCATCACAAACAAACAAAAAATGCAACGCAGTGAAGCTGTCATTTTTTTGGATTCCAAATTCTTTGATGTTTGATTTTGTTTTGTTGAAAAGAAAAAATTTCGATCTTTTTTTTCCTGTCACCGTTATTTGGAAACGTTAGCATTTTATTTGATTTTATCATTTCATCCGGTATATATAGCCGGATCTTCAAGATTTTTTTGTTGGGTACTATTATTTCGACTAATGGATTCGATTTTATTTTGTTTTCTTTATTCGATGCTTTTGTTTTCTTTAGCGTTTTTTTGTTTGGTATTCTGTTGAATTGAATTCAGTTTCACCAACTGACAATGAGATCGTGACAGCAACAATAAAATCAGCGAAAATGAGAAAACCAAACTTACAAACTTACAATCTATTCTATGGAGAAAATGTACCAAAAGAAAAACGAAAAAATTGTTGACGTCGTTAGAAGAAATTAATCAAATTAGATTCTATTTTCAAACAAGAATCACCCAAAAAAAAGAAAGCCGAAAAAAAACTATTTCAACAAACATTGTCACTATTTTGACATTAAATATCTATTTCATTATTATCATTTGTTGTTGTTATAATGATTGAAGATGATAATGATGATGGTAAAGTTTTTTTTTCATTGTTGTTGTTCTTAATGTTTTATTATTATTATTGTCTAATGTTTTTGACCTTGAAATTTTAATTTAATTGTTTTTTTTGTCTCAATTTACTTGAAATGAAACAATTTTAGAAAATGTACAATCTTAATCTGTCTGGAGAGGAAAAAAATAAATAAATAAATAACAAAGAATTAAGAAGTAACTAATAACAGTTAATAGTAAAAAAACAGAAAATAATTGAATTTCATTCAACTGTATTTTTATTTTTGATAATCATATTAGTTGGAGATAAAAAAAAATTTCTATAATCTTATCTAAACCGATAAACACTTTTTGTTTCAATATTGAAAAAGATACTGAAATTATTTATCATACTGATTCCAAGAAGAAAATGATATTTCATTTCTATATGAGATTATTCATTAGGAAAAAAAAATGATAAAAAAAAATCAAAATCGAATAGTACGATGATGATAATGATGAATGAATATTATCAACATTATTATCGTACTTATTGATTATATTATCATTGAATTTTGATTTTCAATTCAAATTAGTAACAAATGATTGATCCAGTTTAAACTGGATCTATAGATTAAACTTTATCGAAAATTCAGTGGCAAATAAGCAGAAAGAGAGAGAGGGAAAGTGCAAGAATAAACCATGTGTTCAATTAATCAATCAATCAATCGATCGATCATAATAAAATGTGATGTTTTGATTAGTTTTTTTTTCTTGGAAAAGTGCAAAAAAAAAGATCTTCTCAAATTTCAAATCACATGGTTTACTATGATGATGATGATTCAAATCGAATTTGAAAAAAAAACGAAAACAAGAAATAGGCAAATATTCTTTTGATTGTAAAAAACTTTTTTTCCATCAACAAACAAACGAAAAAAAGAAGAAGATGTTTATGTCGTATTCGTGTAAAAGATGTGAAAAATAACACTTTATATCCCTTTTTTTCCTTATTCCTTTCCATTCAAGTTGTTAAATTAAGATTTATTTTATAACCAAAAAGAAAGAAAAAAAAAATAAAAAGGAAAATGTAATCAATTTTAACATTTTGGTTAAATCTTTGAATTCTTTGAGTTTTATTTGAAGTAAAAATTTTTTTTTCTCTCTTAGGAAAACAAATGGAAAAAAAACATGCAATGTTTGTGTATTTTGTTCGTTTATCTTTCGTTTTTTTTTGTCGAATTGCTTCAATTGAACAATGAGGAAAGAGAGAGAAAATGGAATAGATGAATAAATATATAGATCATAAAGTCAACATTTTTAAAATTTATTTATTTAGAAAATTGATGAAAAAAATAACTTGTTTTTTATTCTGCTGTTTTTGTCGTTGTTTGTTTGTTTGTTTATTGATGTAATGATATGAGATTAATGGAATAAAAGTGAAATGAAAAAATATTCAAAAAAACCATAACAAATTTTGTAGAAAAAAAACAAGGAAAAGCCCAAAAAACCATCACATCTCATCATGTTTATCATAGCTAAGTAGCTAATTCAATTATAACATCATTTAGGCCATTAAATTGTTAAATTTCCCTCATCCCCGAAACAAAATATTAAAAGTTATCAAATATGACAAACACACCTATCAAGAATTACTTGTTTTTTTCCCACATCAAAATTGATAAAACCAATTAACAACTAAAACAAAATTCAGATAAGATTATAGTGAACTATTTTTCGTAGTATTCATTCAACCCGTTTGTTTAAACAACAGCAAATTTTACACATTTTAAAACATCTAAAATAATCATTTGCTATGATTATGATGAAATTTGTACATTTTTTTTTCATTTGTTTGTTATACATGCACTCACACATATTTCACGCATCAAATAATAAAGATAACAGTTATTTTATCATTTGAAATCTAATACAATGCAATAGCACATCTTAAAAATGATGCATGTGTGAAAAAATCGTATCATTTTGAAATGTTTGAAGGTTAAATAGATTTTAGCATCTATTTATCATCTTGATTATGGCACGCGTTTTTTTGTGTGCGTGTGGAATTTTTACTGGTTAAATTAACCTGATTTTAACATCAAATTTTGACTGATTGATTAAACAAAGAGATGCTTTTGTTTATGGAAAATTGAGTGGGGAAAATTTTCCATTATTTTTTTTGTCTGTAACTAATGAAACAAAGGATTTTCTTTGGTTTTTTTTCTGTTCTCATCCAAATGAAATCTTTAAGAAATGAGAACATCAATCAATCAATCAATCAATGATTTGATTAGTCATCAATGATTGATTGATTTTGAATTTGAAATCAAATGTGGAAAAAAAATATTGCCGTCATCACACGAAAAAAAAATGATTGACGTGATCATCATAATCACTGATTGTTTCAAATCAAATTTTGTTCTAAATAATGATTATTCTATGCTGGGAAAACTTGTTGTTGCAATTAAGAAAGAAGAAAAAAATCATTTTTTTCATCTGGAAAAAGTTTTGAAGGTTTTTGTTTTTGTTTTTCTGGTGATGAAAAAAAAGAAACTATTTACATTGCCAACTTGCTGTTGTTGTTGTTGTTTCTAAACATAAACAAACAAACAAACAAACCACAATATTGATAATTGGTGATCCAATGATGGTAAATAAAAGATACTGTCTATCCACAATCAATGAACGTAAACACCAAACAATCATCATCATTTAATAAATGGGGAAAAAATGTACACTTTTTTTTCATTTCTGGGTTGTTTTCTAATGCATTTTCGTTTCAAAATTAATTGTTTGTTTTTGCTGATAAATTGGTTACAAAAAAATTGGCCAAAAACAAATTCAAACATTGATTGATTGTCAATGAATTCGTTTTTCCACATTGGTTTTTTGTTATTTTCCCAAAAAAAAAAAATTAGTACATCTATCATTATCATCGGCTGCTGAATTTCGCTTTAAATCACTTGATTTTAATCGATAAATTTTCGATGCATATAAATTGATGAGAACAACATAAATTGTTATTCAAAAACAAAATTTTACGAAAAACAAAAACAACAACAACCAAATAAAAAACCACGATACGTGTTGGATCATCTGTTTCGTATCTGTTTTTTTCATTATTTTCGTAAGAATTTTTTTTTTGTTGGGACAAAATCGAAAAATCTAGATCCAAACAACATTATATTTCAAATATTGTTGATAACAAATCAAACAAACAATAATCATTCGATTGATTGAAGTTGTTTTTCATTTTTATTCAATGATAATGACACTGATAATTTTGTTATCAACAAGAAGAAAAAAAATGAATGAATGAATTTCCATCGAATGTATAAAAGAAAGTGTAAAAAGAACAAATGTTTTCAATATGAACATCAACGACAACAACCACACTAATAATTTTGATGTTTTTATCAAAATTTTTCATTTATCGATATCAACGAAATCGTGTCTAATATAATATTTGAAATTGAATTTGTTTATTTTGATTTTGATTTTTTATTTTTGTTGAATACATCTTGTCAAATTATTTAACTCCTTTTTGGTAAGGATTATTTATTTGTAAAGAAAATAAAAGAAACAAAAACAACGTCATCGTTCATGACGACCAAACAGTTTCAGTATTTTCGAAATTTTCATCATTATTCATACGGATCATCAACATTATTGACGGCATCAAAACCACCACCAAGATTGTTAACGATAACTATTGATCAATATAGAAATAATAATCACGATACATTGAAAACAAAATTATTACCTCTTGATTAAACAACGGAATATAAACAAATAAACAAAATTTAACTCTGGATAAAAATTTATACATTGTAAGTAATCTAGTGAGAATGAATTGAAGATAATTTTTTTTTTAAAGAAAAACAATTTTTATTTTCAATTTTTTTTACCAATTTAATAGCCTTATCCAAAAAAACCGAATCAATTTGTTCAGAAGACAAACAGGAAAAATATTTTTCTTTGCAAAAACAAAATATGGATTATATTCGTCGACCATCGATTCTAATGAATATTCCAGCTAATACAATACCTACAATCAATATTATCGATGATAATGATAATGTTATTGATAAATCACAACAACAAAACCAACCATCATCAATGACAAACACGGCATTATATCTATTAAGGTTTAATGTTGCCTTACAAATTGCCATATCCGCAATGGCTGTAAATCTTTTTCTTGCTATTGCAACATTTTATTATGGTTGGAATGCACTTTATTGTGCATTCGGTGCTGATTCGATAATCGGTGTTTTAACTGCAATCATATTGATATGGCGTTTTGCATCAAGTAAACATGAAGCAAACATTATTATCAATGATGGTGATAATAATTTGGATAATGAACATTTACCCATTCTCAATCATCATAATATTAGTCGTCGTAATAGCCGTTTGTTTGGTGAATCCGATATGCATCCATTTTTACGATCATTAGAATCGACTATTGATGATACACCAGATGATAATCGACGAGAATTATGGTCAACATTTTGGTTAGGCCAGATAATGATATTATCCGGTTTTGGTGTAATAATACGTTCAATAATTGAATTAGTACATGAAATTATTGAAAATGTTCATCAAATTGATGATGATAATATGATTGTCATTAATGATCATTATGATATGTCACCATTATATATATTAGCATTGATATCATTAGCAATGAATATTATATTAATGGGTTTCAAACTATTAATTTATTATCATCTTAATTCTAATTCAATGCTTATTGAAGGCGTAAATTCATTTATATCAGCTATATTTGCTGCAACCACTGTTATTTCCATACAATTTCATGATCGTATTGAATATCTTGATCAAATTGTATCAATATTATTTGGTGTATTTCTTATTATCTATGGTATCTATAATGTATTACATACATTAGCACATACGGTTATCGATCTTATTAAACAAAAATATGGTAACCGTAATAATAATGTTCAACGTCGATTATTAACATCATCAGCATCACAACGACATCTAAATCTTTTGAATCATTGCCACAAGGAAAGTCAACGTCGTGCATCGACAAAATCATTACGTGATGATTATCTACAATTACTTTAAATATCTATTATTAATTAAGACGAAAGCCTTTTTTTTGATACAATTAATATTATTTCTTTTCTTTTGATACTCAATTGATGATTTTAAAATTTTCTTTATTTCTTTACAAAAAAATAAAAAGTATTTCACATATTATTTAAAATATTTTTAATTTATTTCACTGTTATTAAAATGAAAACTATTAAATATTTCGACCAAAGGCATTGCAAATGTTTTCCATTCTAATTGTTTTTTATTATCCCATTTTGGAATCAAATCAATAATATTATCACAACGATCAGAATCATCAGTATAATCACCACACATAACTGTTATTATATCACCGAAATAACTTTGAAGTGCATCACGTATCACTGATAATAATTCCGGTACATCACATGTTTTCTGTATCTTTCGAATGCCAAGTTCTTGATATTTATAATAATTGCTGTTTTTTTCAACGTTTAAAAAAATTACAAAATTAATTAATTTTGGATTTAGATTTGAAAAACAATTACATACCAACAAACCAAAGGAATACGTAGATTTTGTGGCTGAAATTTACGTAATGTATGCATATCAGCGGTAAAATTTCTCATTAAATTACCGAATTCTGGTAGACGATCTTTTGCACATTTAACTAAACTTAGAACAGTTGATTTACGTTTTTGGCTATTACAATATTTTCGATTTGTTCGTACCAATGAATATAGGAAAATTTTAACTGTTTGTCGTGTTTGTATATCCGTACAACGATTCAGATATTGTTCAACACATTTTTCGGCCGGTTTCAAACGTCGACAATAATAATTTACCTCTTTCATTGATAACGGTGGATTATTGAGAAGTTGATCATCGGTTAGAAAGGATAGAATCATAACACAATTATCCATACGATCATGATCAATTTTGGTACATAATTTTGATGTTGATTTTGGTTTGGCTGCATCAATATTGATCAAATTAATCAATTGTATTGATAAATACAAAATAATCATGTAAATTTTAGCCATTTCAAAATTATCTTTTTCATTACCAAAAAAATAACTATGTGAAGGAACTTTCAATCTCATCATCATTTAGCAAAATCATTCTGTTTATATACCAGGTATGTTTTTCCTTTGGAGGGGTAGAGTGCCTCTTTTAAAAATAAAATAAAATACTAGGTGTAGTGTCGCATTGTTACACAGGTATGTTTTTCGTGAAAAAAAATATTCATTAATATTAATGAAGTAAAAAAAAACTTGTTTTTTTTCCATATTTGAATCGATATCATTTGAACTAAGAGGTTGATCAATTTAATGTCGTCATTATCATTATAATGTGAAGATTTTGGTTGTTTATTCTTGTTGAAATTTTATTACGTGAGAATATTTCACACACATTTTCGAACAAATAGAAAATTTGAATAAATCATATAAATGACGCCATCTTGTGTCTATCAATATTACTGAAAAAATTTATCAAAATAAAATTCACCGAAAAATATTTTGGATGAAAAATTTTCCAACATCATTTCACCTAAAATATATGGTTCGATTTGAAATTTTGTCAAAATAATTTCATTAAAATTATCATGAAAATCAATACAGATTTCAATCAAATGCCAATCATTGATGATCGAATGAATACTTGAAAATGATTTTCGAATCATATTATTATCATCATCAAGGATTTCTTCTTCAGGTTTTCGAATATACCATCCATCAGATTCGATAATTATGGCTGAATAATTATCATCACCCATTTCAGAGTTACGATGAAAATAATTGATGATGGTTCGAATTTTTAAATTTTCTTGCAACCATTTTTTATTATCATAATTATTCTGATGAAATTTATAAACAAATCGATATCGAAATTTCATCGAATCATCGATTGGTATATGTGTTCGAAATAATGTAATCGGTTTTGGTATCAATGGTTGTTGGATAATATTGTATAAATCAATTAGTAATGATGAACCACCATTATATGGTTGATCATATGAAATCGATAAACGATAATAATCATTTTTCCATTCATTTTTTTCAATAAATAATGATGTTTGTAAATCATGATGATGAAAATTTAACCATGGTTTTGATTCGATACGATTACCATATTGATAATATCCATAACCATGACCAATATTAAAACATGTTTGCAATGGTAATGTGGTCAAAAGTTTTTCACATATTTCCAATAATCGTCCATTGATAGCAATTCTTGACCAAAATTCAAATTCATCTTCCATACTGTATATGTTGGCCGTTGATTGTATTAGTTTCCAATATGGCATCTGACAATTATCGTGTCTTTCATCACCATCATCATTATTCGAATGTCGAATAAAAAGATCATCGGAACAGATTTTCGATTCATGTGTCCAACCGGGTGCAAATATAGCAACGGAAAGATTATTGTCGAGAATTTTTTCAATAGCTTTCCATGTTCCATCAAGACCACCGCCACCAAAACAACCACGACCATAACAATCAACACCAACATAACAATCATATTGCCTGCGATATTCACAAGCTTTATTGCGACTATTTACAAGATTTTCATTTTTCCAAGTGTAATTAAGAAAAATTGCATCAGAATCTTCGAAAAAGGTTTCATTCATATCGTTCAATTCATTTTGCCATTCAAGTTTACCGGTTCGAGTAACAGAATCATACCAAATGATTTGTGTATCTTCATTATCTGAAAATGTAGATTTCATTTTAAATTTCAATCGTTGAATAAGATATTTCATACGAGAAATTTTATCCAAATCGATCGAAGTTTCAATGTTCAATAACCAACCATCAAATCTATAAAATGATTGAATATTTATCAAAGCATCTATAAATCTATCAATTAGATCATTATTGGCCAATATTTTATCAAGAAACTGTTTTCCATCAATCTGTTGTCCACCATCATCATCATATTTAGCCCATTCTTCAACGACAATTGTACCGAAACATGAAACACCATTTCGATGACAAGCTTGAATCCATTCTGGTGGTGGAATCGTTATGAATTTATGAGTAAAATATATGAAAATATCAATCAAAGACCAATGAATAAATGTATAGAATTGAATCGAATATTGATCATAATGTTGAAGAAATGATGTATGACAACCGATTGCTTCATCAGCCGAACGTTCATGATAATTGAAACGATAATCATGACAAAGTATTACTTTTGGACCATCAGGATTTTTTCGAATACGTTCACGAATTTTCGAAACATTGGAATTGTATTTTGAAAAATTATCCAAATTTAACCAAGACCATAATTGTTGTAATGTTGTACAACCATCGACAGCATTGATTTCTGAACATTCAGATGTATGATCGTCGATATTAGCCATTCATAAGATTTTGAAACATATAAACTAAAAAAAAGAATTTGTTTTTTATCCAATCATTTTGCAATTTTTGTTTTTATTGTTTATGATCCATTCAGTATTACTCAGCCATAAAGAATACATCATCAACGATAATAAACAAATGCCATGAGTTTTAATACATTTCATACCGAAACTTTTCCCTAAACAATTTAACTTTCTGTAAACATTTTTCTCCATTTAATTTAGGAAGTTACAAAATATTGTGAGTTTCTCCATTTCGGCAACCCAAAATAATTTTTTGATCTTTTCTTTGTGAAATACGATATTTGTCAAAAAATCGCTTACATTTCATGTTAAGGAGATATTTGCTATCAAAAGTTTACATTATTGATTTACATTAGTAGATTTTTCATCCACTTGAGTTATAAATATGAAATGAAATAAATGAACAACAATTGAATATTATCAATTAAATCCATTATGAAAAAGAATGTTGTCAAAAGCTTTGATATATTTCGATTATATGATGATAATCATTTTTTTGCACTTAGATTATCTCTATTTTTTTCATTCATTTTTTTGCACCAAAAAAATGTCCTTAAAAGTATAATTCGAGTTCCTAATTGAATTTGAATTAGTACTATAGCTATATAGCTTCCATTATGATATTTGCATCCTATATATAAATGGGAAGAAAATCAAATTGCAAATTAAAACGATTCAATTGATAAAATTATCACTCATCTAAAGTTACAAAAACATGTCTTCATCAAGTGGAAAAAAATATGATTTCAGTGGTAAAGTTGCTCTTGTTACAGGTTCAAGTTCGGGTATTGGTGCGGCAATCGCTTTGCAATTTGCACAATATGGTGCTCAAGTTACAATCACTGGTCGTGATGCAGCCGCTTTAGAATCTGTAGCCAAACGAATTGAA